TTAAAATGTTTTCTACATACAGTGGGAGATTCTTCAACCATAAAGACTAAAGGGGCACTGAGAAATATCACAAAGAGCCTGAAAACATGCTCAGTGAGAGACAGCAGGCCCCAAAACACCATAGATTATTTTATTTAATTTCTAAAAAATGCCCAGAGCAGATGAATCCATAGTTACAGAGAGTATATTAGTGGATTTCTGGTCCTGGGGCTGAGATCTTGGGAGGGTGAATGTTATTACACACTGGGGTTTTGAGTGAATGATGAAAATATTCTAGCATTAGAAGATGCACAACTTTGTGAATACACTAAAATCCCTACTGTGCACTTTAAAACGGTCAATTTTTGGCATGTATGAATTATATCTTAATAGAAAATTAATTTTAAAAGTAGTTGCCAGCAGAATTACAGCAAATAAAGTCTAAAGATTCTAGGAAAAATGATCTCCATCTTGCAGAACAATGAAAGTGAACACTTATTTTGTACCACATAGAAAAACCAACTCAAAATGGACCAAAGACTTAACATAAGACCTAAATCTGTAAAACTACGAAAAGAAAACTCTCAAGGCAAGAGTTTCTTGACCTTAATCTGAGCAGATTTTTTTATATTACCCTGAAAGAACAAGGGACAAAAGAAAAGTAGGCAAACTGGATGGCATCGAACTAAAAAGCTTCCATACAGCAAAGAATACAATCAACAGAGTGAAGAGAATGGGAGAAGACTCTTGCAAACCTTGCCTCTGATAAGGGCTTGGAATCTGGAAGATAAAGGAACGCAAACAAATTAGCAGCAAAAATCCACTCATCTGATTTGAAGTGGACAAAGGACCTGAATAGTCATTTTTGATAGAGGACACATGAGTATAAAAATGCTCAACATCACTAATCATCAGAGAAACAAAAATGAAAGTCACTGTGAAATATTACCTCACACTTGTTTAAATGGCTCTTATCAAAAAATTAGAAAAATAACCAGTTTTGAGGATGAGGAGAAAAGGAAAACTTGCACACTGTTAGTGGGAATGTGAACCTCTATGGTGGTTCCTTTAAAAAGTTAGGAATATGATGTGATCCAACAATCCCTCTACCATATGATCCATACCACCTCTGGGTACATATCCAGAGAAAACAAAGTCTGTGTCTTGAAGAGACATCTGCCCCCTGATATTCACTACATCATTATTCACAATAACCAAGCTACGGAATCAACTTAAGTGTCCATTGGTGAATGCATGGATAAGGAAAACGTGATTCGTGCACACAGAGTGGAGAATTACTTAACATTAAAAAATAAGGAAGTTGGGCTGGGATTGTAGCTCAGTTGGTAGAGTGCTTGCCTGGCATGCGCAAGGCCCTGGGTTCAATCCTAGCACCACACACACAAAAATAAAATAAAATAAAAAATAAGGAAGTCCTGCTATTTGCAGCAAAATGGATAAACCTGGAAGATAATTTGCTATGTAAACCAGACACAAGACAAGAGCTGCCTGGCCTCACTTACCTGTGGAATCCAAAAAAGTCCAACTTATAAAAGCGGAGGGTAGAATGGTGCTTTCCCATGGCTGAGGGGTGATGGAGACATATTGGACAAAGTGTACCAAGTCTCAGTGAGGCAGGATGAGTTAAGTTCTGGGGACCCAGTGTACAGCATGGTGACTGTAGGTAATAACTTGAAATTTGCCAAGATAGTGGATTCTGAGTGTTTTTACCACAGACACAAAAAGGTTATTGATGGTTACATTTGGTTGTCAACCTGACTAGATTGAGGGCCGCCTAGAGATTTGGTAAAGCACACTTCTGGCTGTGACTGTGAGGGTGTTTTCAGAGAAGATCAGGGGGGGAGTCAGTTAACTGAGAGGAAGACCCACCCTGAACTTGGAAGCACTCACCCAGAGGCGGGGGCCAGGAACAGACTGTGTGCGTGCGAGGCCCTTCTTGCGCGGTGTGTTCTGCTGCTGGCCGAAGTCAGACCCCAGATTCTTCAGCCTCCAAATGTGGAAGCACCAGCCGCTCTCAGTGGTGGTGGTGGTGGGCGGTACGTGGTGTTCACATCTCCAGCCTCGGACTAGAGCGGCATCATTGGTCCCCTTGTTCTGAGGCTCCCAGCTTTTGGGCTGAGCAGCCCCCAGGATTGCTGGCCGCCACGGGACTGTCCATCCTCCGATCCTGTAAGCTACTCTAAGACATCTTCTCCTGTAGTTGCAGATCTTCTATTTCTCCTGTTCTTCTGGAGCAGTCTGACAGTTACTCTGTGAAGTGACAGGTATGTTAATTCACTTGATGGTGTAATCGTTTCACTGTGTGTGATATCAAACCATCTCGTTGTAAACTTTAAATATACATAATTTTATTTGTCAGTTATGTCTCAATAAAGCTGGAAATAAAATACCTAAAATTTCTACTTTGCCGCAGTCTGGCTGGGCACACAATCACGAGCCACCACACAGCTTGTAGATTCAAACAGCAACTCTTTATTCCCGAACTCACACCAGCCGCCTACAATCACGTTCTGGGGAAATCCACGTTCTCTTCCCAAATCCACGTTCTCTGCCCAAATCCACCTCCACTGGGCTTCTATCTCCAAAATATACAGTCTGAATCCCGTGAGAACTCAAGGGGAACTCAGGCAGCAGGATATGCCCTATTCCCAGCAGAAATAATCTTAAACCTTAAACCTGGAACCTAAACTGGGAACGCCCTAAACACGATTATCTTAAAACCGGGAACACCCTAATCTGCCTTGGTCCTTGAGCAAGGTCACTTACATTCAATGTCACTGCAACATGTCAGCAACATGGGGTACGCTGGCAAGGAAATTGTCATACCTACTTGGCTAATGGCTCCCAGCACTACTTCTTTTCCCTAATTCAGCTATACCCATAAGTAAGCACAAGTACCACCTTATTAAACATTTCATTTTGATTCATTCTTGTATGTACATTCATGAGCATATTATATGTGAATTTACAGGTACATACACTTACATATAATACACATGTGTAAAGCTTTTACATAAATGACAAATGATCCAATTTTCACTTAAATATATAGAAAGGCATAAAAAAGGTATCACAAGAGCACATGCCCACAGTTCAGCTCAAAATTCAAAACACTACCCCCTGCTACACTCCTCCCTCAAACACACCTCCCACTCTTGAACTGCTCTCCTGAATGTGGAATTCATCATTTGGTGTAGTAACAAATTTAGCCTTTCCTGAAGAAAGGTCATTGCCCTATTCTGGAGATAGTGTCTAAATCTTTGAGTGTCATGTCTGATAGGACTGTCTTTTCCTGGGGGCCTAAATCATGCTGGATAATCTAAAAATGTGATTTAGTGCCCAGGCTGTTGATAAGATATTTTTAACAATGTGATTCAGAGTGGAGCAGGCCACAGCAGATAGTCTAATCATGTGACTTAGAATGTGTCTGTCAGGTGGTGTCAGCTCCACTTCAGAAGAGCCAGGTACTGTGGTCAGACATGGAGGATGTCAACCACACCTATGTGATGGAGGCCCAGGAAAAACCGGACACTAGGCTTGGGTGAGCTTTCCTGACTGTCAACCCATCCCAATGTTGAAGAAAACAAATGAAGTCTGCTCTATTTACTCTCATCTGGAAGGATATAAAAAGCAAAAAAAAGTGCAATTATGACAATAAGAAATCTGACCTCAAATCTCCTGAGGCAATGAGCAGTCCAATAAGATAAGTGACAAAAGGGCTTGGATCCCTTGGCCTGGCCACCAGCTGGGGACCATTAGTGGTAGGATGGTCTGGGGATGAATGTGGAGATATTTATAGGACTCCATGACATGGGGATCCCATACATGGTGATTCAAAACCCTGTGGGTGAAGTCCTAGTTGGAGCTGGGAAAGTACTGAATTGTGGGATTAAAGTTTGGATGAGCCAGGCATGGTGATACACACGTGCAGTTCCAGCAACTGGGGAGGCTGAGGCAGGAGGATTGCAAGTTGGAGGGCAGCCTCAGAAACTTAGCAAGATCCTGTCTTAATATAACAAAATAAAAATGGCTGGAGATTGGCTCAGTGATAGAGTACACCTGGGTTCAATCCCCAGTACTCCCACCCCCCAATTGGGTGAAAATTGGAATGGTTGAGGAGACTTTATGTAAATCTGTTTCCCTGAACACAGTATGGGGATGGATATTGTTTCTGCCTGGAAAACACTCCCCCTATCCACTGTGGTAAAACAGAAGGCATGTAAATCTTCCCTTCAACCAACATTGATTTAACATGCTAAATGAGTACTAGTGGGGGCTGGGGATGTGGCTCAAGCGGTAGCGCGCTCGCCTGGCATGCGTGCGGCCCGGGTTCGATCCTCAGCACCACATACAAACAAAGATGTTGTGTCTGCCGAAAACTAAATAAATAAATATTTAAAAAAAAAATAAATGAGTACTAGTAAAGTTGCCCAAACCCACTCGATTATTAATTTGAAACAGTATAGGATATATATATGATGGGCAAGTTAGGACCAAATGTTTGGCTTATTTGGATTTTGGAGGACATAAATCCCACATCTAGGACGCTTGCTAGCTCCTGTCCATAAAACCACGCAAGTCCCTCGGAGGCCTTAGATACAGAGCTATAGCAAAGAGCTAGTGAGCCACCCAGTGGTGAATGCTGGGGTTTGGGGCCAGAACGTTTCCATTTGAGAGAGAGCTAGTTGGCTATTGGGTTTAAAATCGCACCTATCACTAGAGGACATAAAGTAAGGACCCATTGATGTGTTTTGTAATGTTGTAAAGAAACACTCTAGTAAGGAAGGTCATTGCAGAAGAGTCCATAATACAATGAAAGTGGTTTATAAAGAACATGCTACTAGAGGAATGCAAGAGGTACATTGCATCCATGAGTAGGTGACCTCGTTTCCCCCAGGATCAGCTTTGGAACCACCTAAGGGGCTGCCAGATCCCCCCATTACTTAGACAGTGCCTAGAAATAGCTCTTGATTGGTCTGTGGATGGAAAATCCAAAGGGGATGAACAGCATCCTGTTTGGAAGCCTGACACTCAGATTGAAGGAGGTAAAAACAAGTGAGTTCAGTGAACTGAACTGCCCCTATCTTTGGTTTTTACCAACTTATGGGCAGTGGCCAGTGGCCTGGTGGTGTAGTCAGGCCAATGGACGATGGAGAACTGGGCTACTGGAGGGATGCCCGTGGAGGGTGCAGCCCTATGGAATCGCCCCCTGCCACCTACCACCTCCTTCCTCCCCACAAGTCCTCCCTGACCTTTACAGTTGGCATTTTGGCAATTTTTAAAAGAATTTTACTAACTATGAGTGTATACATGAACACTATATTTTGATTTGGCCTTGTGTTTTTCCTGAACTTTAAAATTAATACACTCCTATTTTATTATTTACTTGTATCTGGCTTCATTCACACAACACTTTGTGAAATTGATCCACATTGTTCTTCTAGCATTAACTTATGTTTTAATTGCTGTGTAGTATCTTGTTTATTTTTCCATACTATTTGTAATGATATTTGAATTGCTTAACTTTGGGGTGTTATAAATACTGTTGCTACAAACATTTTTTCACTTGTCTTCGGTGTTTATATGCAAACATTGTTATTGATTATATATCTAGGAGTAGAACACAAGGTCATAGAGTATATGTATCTTCTCCTTTGATAAATAATGTGGTTTTCTAATTTATATTCTCACCAATGGTGTATGAAAGTTCAGCATTATACATCTTTGCCAACCCTTGATATTGTCAGTCTTAAAATTCTCAACTGGATATGCACTTAAATCTTAATGATATTGAAAATTTATGTATATAGAATCCTGCTTATCAAAACTTGGGATGCAGCTAAAGCTGTGATCAGCCAGAAATAGAAAACCAAATTAAACATAAAGTAGTAGTAGTCAGGGAAAAACAAGTGAGATAAACTCATTCCCCTCTTTGGTATTGCTTTTTCTTCTATATTTCTTTCTCTATTAGCTTGAAAATTTTATAATTCTTTTAGTAGATAGTCTGGGTCTTACAATATATGGATTGAAGATTGACAGTTTTTTGGACAATGCAAAGACCACAGAAATTCCACTCAGGCACCAACACGAATGCAACCTTCTCTCCCGACCACAGCCACCGTCTCTCCTCTGGCCACCTGGTCTGCAGACATTCACCATCCAGGCCATTTCTCATGCAGTGCCAATGGAACTGTCCAAACATCCGACCCTCCTGACCCTGTCCCTCCCTGTCGCACAGCCCTTCCACAGATCCCCATTAGTTTTAAGAGAGAACCTAAAGAACCCAGGGGAATGGGGAACGGGAGTGAAAGACAAGGGAAGAGACAGGAGACATGGCACTGGGACTACACATGGCAGAGTGTCCCAGCTGTCCTGGCTGCTCCTGAGATCTCGTCCTATATAATTCCTGCTTCTCCAGGTGAACAGGCCCTCGGGATGACCAAGGAGACAGACGTCCCTGCCTTGCCAAGACACATCTGATTTCCCTCCACCACATCCTCTTGCCGCTACCCATCACCTCGTCCCTTCTGGCATAGGGAAGGGCTCTCCTGTGCCTGAGAATGTCCCCACTGCTCAGGGGGCTGCCACAGCTAGAGCCAAGTAAGTGAGATGAGAAGCACGCTGGGCAGTCTCGGGAGCCAGGGGCGGGCTATGGGGTGAGAAGACACAGGAGGTGCGGATTAGTGTCTGGGCTGGGCCAGGGCGTGGCGTTGAAGGTGAGGGTGGTGTGGGGGCTCACTGAGGCAGGCTGGAGACAAGTGAGCACAAGGAGCTGACTCGGGTGTTACAGGGAGCCCTGAGGCTAGTCGGTTGTCAGCATCTTCGTATCCCCTTGGGCACTCTTTCCAGGTGGTAAAGACAGTGCAGAGGGCAGCAGGGGCTGGGGTGTGCGCGGAACCCTCTGAAAACGCCCCACAGTGACCCAGATGGAAAGTCAGAGATCAAGGGCCAATGCTCCCTTTCCTCTAGCAACTTCAAACACCAATGAAAACACACATAAACGTGTGAAGACTTGTTCCTCATTATTGGAGTCCTTGTGAATCCAAGATATTTAGCACATGGTCAACGTGTGGAGTCTGTGTGGAGTGGGGGCACTTCAAACCTTCTTACCCAGAAAGTGCCACAGCAATCTTGGCTTCAGGTGGAGGCTCCATGGGAAGCCACCAGGGACTGGGAAGAAGGAAAGAGAAAGGTGTTCGACTTGTCAAATGGGTGAATACTTCATCACGCACTGAGCTAGAAGCTCTACAAATTCACTCTCAGATAATAACGAGATAGTTTTGGTTACTGCCCCAATTCACCAGCCTAGAAGCAGCAAAGAGAAGGGAAGCGATTTGCCCAACAGCAGCCAGACACAGACTGATCACAGAGCCTAAGGCGGAAGGAAGTTGGGGTGTGAGGAGCGAAGCAGAGGAGCTCAGGCCGGTGTCTAACCTGGGGAACGGGGATCGGAGGCACGGCAGGAACTCAGAAAATCACTCCCCATCATCCCAAGGCCGAGCACCCCAGGGCTGGGGGATAGTGGGGTACTGGTTTGTGGGGCCTAGATCCTGTGGGGTTCTAGAAAGTCTACCTGAAGCTCCCTGGGTCCTGGGGGGAGCAGGGAAGCCGGGTGCTTTGCTGACTCCCACTCCCTCTCCACAGCACCCGCCAGGCTGCTCAACTCCTCTTGCTCCTTGGAGAAGATGCTGCAGTGCAGCTGCTCCTTCCACGGGACCCCCACGCCCTCTGTGCAGTGGTGGGTGGGCGGTGTCCCTGTGGGTGTGAACAGCGTGGATGGCGGCCTCCAGGTGACTTCCACCACCCTTGGCCCCTGGGCCAACAGCACCATCAACCTGGCCAAGGAGCCAGAAATGGGCACAAGCCTTCTCTGCGAGGGCAAGAACCAAAACGAAACCCATGCTGTGAGCATTCTACTGATGTCAGGTGAGTGGAGGACCCGGTGACTAGGTGAGGACGGTAGTGAGCAGGGTGGGCTGGGGAGCTGGTGGGGGGACTGGCACTGCAACCAGAGGAGGGCTCTGAATCTGAGGTCTTGGGAGGGAAACCTTCCCCACGTGCTCTCTCCTTCCAGGAAGGAGTCCTTTGCCTCCCCAGATCTTTCTGAAAGGGCTGCTCCAGGGTGTTGTCTATGGATCTATGGCAGTCACATTGCTCTTCCTCTGCCTCCTCCCCTTCATGTGAGTATGCCTTAGTCCATTTTCTGCTGCTGTAACAAAATTCCTGAGACAAGGGAATGTACAAAGAAAAGATGTTTAGTTGGTTCACAGTTCTGTCTAAGAGCATGGCATGTGTCTGCTCAGCTTCTGGTAAGGGCCTTTTTGCTACATCATAAGATGGCAGAGGGCACTCCTTGGTGAGACAGAGCAAGGGTGCTATCTCAGGTCTCTTTTCCTCTTTGTAAAAGTCACTAATGTCATCATGGGGGCCCCACCCTCATGACATCATCTAATCCTAATTTCCTCCCAAAGGCCTCAGCTCCAAATACCATTAACATGTGAATTGAGGGACTAGGTCTCTAACACAGAGACTTTTGGGGGCACACAGCAGATGCCAGTACTGTGGTTAAATTCTCCCTACTACCAGCTACCTACCTGCCTGCTACCCTGCATACTCTAGCTCTGGTACCAGCACAGAGAGGACAAAGTCAATGAGCTCAGGGTCTGAAAAGGGTCATTACAGAGACACCAGGGCTACACCATGCCATAAAACACACCCATGGGACTCAGTTTTCAGTGCATTTTACAAAAGATAAATCTGGGAAAGAAGTGGTGGCCCTGGAGAAGCCAACAGAGAGACCGCAAGGTGCTGACAGAGCTAGGTGTGGTGGCACACACCTAGAACCCCAGCTACTCGGGATGCTGAAGCAGAAGGACTACAAGTTTGAGGCCAGCCTAGGAAAATTGGTGAGACCTTCTCTCAAAATAAAAAGGCTGGGGATGTAGCTCAGTGGTACAGTGTTTGCCTAGCATGCATAAGGCTCGGGGTTCAATCCCCAGTACTACAAAAAAGGCGTTGTCTGAAATGGGCCTGGAAGACCAAGTACTCATTTTGGTGGAAAGTAGTATATAGAAGCCCAGCAGCACATTGAAGCATTTCTCAGTGTCTGTGTGAAGTCAGGTACCTTGAGAGTGACAGGTAATGGTTAAAAATGGGTTGGAAAAAGTCCTTGGTGTTATTTCATAAAGACCCTTGAAACTTAGCTGAACATACTGGCTAGAAGCCCAGAGTAAGGCAGAGTTGCTGGAGGTCAGGCCAAGGTTTGGGCATCAGGGCCTCTGGCTGCTTGGATGCTAGATGCCTTGGACTGAATATCTGTTTGGGAGCCATGGGAGACTGCTAAGCTGGGAATGGAAGCATAACCTTGGGATGGGACAGATCAGACAGCAAGAGCCCGGAGGCCAGAGCAGGCAGATGGTGCCTCATCACTCAGGAAAGAGCCAAGCCTATGCTGAGGCAAGTGTCGAGAGGCAGCGAGAGCAGTGGGATTGGGAATGACTGGCCATCAGAGGAGTGGAGGAAAAGGAGTGAGTGGTGGGGAAAACTGATGAGCTATTTTGAAGTAGTCAGCTGGACTAGTGATCTCTTTACGTGTACAGGGTATCCCCATTATATAGGGTATGATACCAATTCCCAGCGAGGTTATGTGGCTTCCCATAGATGATACAGCAAGCTGGTAGTGTTGTTGGGGCTCTAAACCAGAACCTATGATCAAGACCAGAATCCACTTGGGGATGCAGAGAGGTAGAGAGCCAGAACTGATAAGACGCTCATTTCCTTAGAGTGAAGCATATCAGAAAGAAGAATGCAAAGAAAACTGCAAAGATCAAAGCACAAAAGAACCCTGAAGTCAGTAGGCCAGAACCCAAGATGTCTCCAAAGAATGCTGAACCAGGGAAATCCATAACCACCCCATCTTCTGAGAACCAGATTTTGGTAGGTACCCATTATGTTTGGAATCCAGTCTATCAAGATAAGATAATTAAGACTCAAAGACAGCCAGGTGCAGTAGCACATACCTGTATTCTCAGCAACTCGGGAGGCCGAGGCAGGAGGATTTCAAGACCAGCCTGATCACTAAGCAAGACTTTGTTTCAAAATAAAATTTAAAAAGGGCTAGAAATGTAGCTTGGTTGGTAGAGAACCACTGGGTTTAATCCTCTGTACTGAAAAAATAAAAATAAAAGTCCTACAGGAAGAAGTTAATACAGGGCTTGAGAAGAATCTCCCCTATTCAGTATTGATATATAAACATAGAATGTGCTTACAGATCATTTTATAGGTGGTGAAGTTAAGGCCCCAGAGAGCCTTATGAAAGATGAAAATTAAGAGACATAATTTAAAGAGTAATCAGGATTGCAACAAACACACATGCACGCACGCACGCACACACCCAGCACACTGAATCTCCACTGGGAAGAGAATTGGGGACCCCTAGCGATGGTTCTAGCATCAGAGTGGAAACCAAAGGTTGGCCTCTGGGTGTTTAGCAAGCAGTGTTCAGCACCTTGTAGATGCCACGGGCCCAAGACAGCCTGAAGTGCTTGGAGGCAGGCCACACCTCAGTTACTCGTTCATTCATACTTCACTCCCATCTTCTGCAGCACTTGAAAGGGAAAGTGCTGGAAGGTGCTAGACATCTATTGTTTACCATTTCTTACTCTCTAAGACCAGAAATCCTCTGCCACCCTCCAAGCACCCTATATGAAAAATTGGTGTCCCTTTATAGATTATATCTATTAAATACTACCAATGTTTCCTATCAAATCTCCTAATCTCTGCGCTGTGCAATGCTGGTGTCTCACCCAGGTCTTGCCCTCAGTGAGCAAACAGGATGGTAGAAAAGGCGCCTTCACAAAAAAAAAAAAAAAATCCATGGGGTTATGGTGGCCCAGAGGAGGGAAAGACCAAACCTATCTAAGAATGCCAAACAAGATGTCCCAGAGGAATCTGGGGAATAGTTTGGTGACACCTGGTACAGGGGATGCATAGGGGCAGGACCAGAGGAAGAAGACAGGCTGCAGGTTCCAATCATGGGATTATGAGCAAAGATTAAGCCAACACCTGATCCATGTTGCTTACCTCTGTACTCAAAGAGCTATCCTTTTAAGATGTGGATACTCACCTCTAGAACTGTTCCAATATCCTTCTTTCTTTGCCTGACTGTTCCATAGCTCCTTCCAGGAAAAGCAAGCTAAACTGGAGACAGTGAAGGCTGTGAAAACTCCATGACACCCAGAGTCCCCTGTATCCATGGAATTACAAAAGTCCACAAAACCCACTGAGTCCCTAGAAAGCATGGAGTTGATAATAAATTCAGAGCCATCAGAATCTCCACAGCTCACAAATTCCTCTCAACCCCTACCTATCCCTTGTGCTGGTTCTCCATGGATTGAGGTTTACTCTTAAACCTGGTCTCAGAATCATTGTTGATAAACTGTGATTTGTTGTTTGGTTAGCCCCATTCTGTGATGGTGTCACAAGAAGGAAAAATATATGTGAAATGATGAGATAGCTCCATCAGGAAGGTGTTTTGAGCCTCTATCGTGGGACAAGAGATACACATACAAGAACACCAGGCATCTTTGGATCAAATCCCAACCTCAATGCTTAGTGACTGTATGCCTTTGGACAAGACCTCTCATCCCCCTCGAAACTTCAGTATCTTTACATGACATACACCTGGGTGAGCAAAAATCACGAGCATGAGCAAAATAGTATCCAGAGATGAGAATGGAGAAGACACCACAATGGGCCTGAATGCCAGAACCTGGCACTGGAGCTTGATCTCATAGGGCGTTATCCTGACTCTGAGAATGCAGTTACATGGGAAGAAGGTCTTCATCTGTCTTGCTTTCTAGCTGTATTGCCAGTACCTATAATTGTGCTTAAAATATAAGAATCTCTCAAAATTCTTGTCAAATAATTACATGAATTAACAAGTGAATTATAAAGCATTGTTAAGGTTTGAAACAAGGAAGTGGGATGATGAGATATGGAAACAGATCCTGAAACACAGAGATGGAGATAAGAGAGTCCTCGGGAGATTATTGCAAAATTTCTTGGCCAAGCTGAAAAGTAGGCAAGCAAGGAGTGAGAACAGGATTCTGGCATTAGGATGTACTATGGCTATGCACTGTTCCCTTCAGAATGAAAGACAACCCCCCCTTCTGGATCCAGATGTCAGTAGTTTTCAGTAATTGAAGGAGGATCATCTCTTCCCTATGAGTGAACAGTGATCCTGCAGCACCAGTGAGAGACATCTTGTACTCAGAGTAGATGCTTTTATAACTCCCACATGTACAAGCAGCTGTCACATGCAGTTCACATTCTCCACAGAAGTATAAGCACCCAGTTTGTGCAAGATAATGGCCACGTCCCCATGGAGTTGGTCTGCGTGAGTATTCCATGAAGACATACACACAAATTTATAGTGTAAAACATTGAGCCAGATATGGTCGTGCACACGTGTAATCCCAGCAACTTGGGAGGCTGGGGCAGGAGGATCTCAAGTTTGAGGTCAATCTCAGCAACTTAACCAGACTGTCTCAAAATTTAAAAGAGCAAGTGAGAGAGCTGAGAATATAGCCCAGTGGTAGAGTGTCCTTAGGTTCCATCCCCAGTACCAATAAATAAATAAAATATTGATAAGTGCTAGGAAAGAAAAGAACAATACTGTGAGAAACTACAGGAGAGGAACCTGTATCAGAGAAGGCTTCTCAGAGAAGGTGTTGTGTTGGTCCTGAATTATTATTAGGAGCTAGCCAGAGGGAACAGCAGATGCTAGCCTGAGATGGGGGAGGTTTGGTGAGTTTAAAAGCCTAGGGCAGGCTCACGTGGCTGGAGCTCAGAGGAGCAGAACTTACAGGGACTCCAGTGCTCTAGTGAGTTTAGCCTCACTCCTGGGGGGTTGTTTCCTCTCTTGCTTTGTAATTTTGGAAAATGGGTTCATATCCAGAGTGACTATCTATACGAATCTTGCATAGCCGAAGTCTTGAGTTATGATCCTCTTTAAAGGTTCGACGTTTGCTTCTACTAAAGAAACACAATCTGCTTGAGAGACAAGAGGACAAGGTTGGGGAGAGGAAGCGTGGTAGGCGTTGGAAGCGAGAGAATGAGGTCAAATGAGTGGGAGAGAGGACCGGGTCTCAGCTGGGGCTCGGTCAGGGCTGGGCTGGGCACGGGAATGGAGAACAGGGCTTCCTCACGTGCCTCGGTTTGTTGGCAGCAGGGGCCTGGGCTGCAGGACAGGAAACAAGGGGATGGACAGATTGCCTTCTGATTGGTCCTGAGGGTGAAGCGCTGGACTCCAGTTCCTTGGTTGACGGCTTTCCATCAGTCCCTCACCCGCTTGCCCACTGGGTCGAGAGAGCCGGGTCCTTTAACAGCTCATTGGCCAGGGCTGGCAAGAGTCTAGAACCATCTGGACCACTGGACGCCAGCTGGACCACAGAGTAGCCTGGCTCCGGCGGAGGAGACCAAAGCGTTCCCCGCGGCCCCGCGCCCCGCCCCATCCCAGCGGTCCCCGCGCTTCGCCGGCCCTGATTGGCTCTGCACAGCGCGCGCATGCCCGTTGGACCCCCGTGGGCGGGTCATCGTGGGCGGGGCTTAGTGGGCTGGTATCTTCGGATGACCTCCAGGGCCGAGGTTGGTGACGCTCCGCGGGACTCTCAGACGGACTGACAAGCTGATCCGCTGATCAGTTAGCCTTCCGCGACCTTGGTCCCTTGCCCTGTGTGACAAGGACATTGACACAGTTACTCCGCGTGCCAGTTCATTGGGCTGAGTCCTTAAATCCCGGACCAGTCTGTCCCTCTGGAAAGTAGTTTCTCCAGGCAGGGTCGCTGTAACTGTCACCTGTGCTTTCAGCCCAGCTGCGGAAGACAGGAAATAGCCAGGGGGAGACCCTGAGGAAGGGCCAGGCTGGAGCGCTCAGAACCTGAGACCAGGAGGTAAAGTTGGTAAAGGAAACGACTGTGTAGGGGAGGGGAAGGAGGCTGCCGTGAAGCCAGCCCAGGGAGCTTCAGCCCTGGGGAGGAAAAGAGAGAGAGGAGATCAGACTGTTGGGTCTGCAGGACGGCCGCAGGCTCTGCAGAGAAACGCTCCAGTTTACAGATGAGGAACCGGAGAAGGGAAGGACTTGCCGGAGCTATCCACCGAGTCACTGGCAAAGCCCCAGCTGGAACCAGCCCAGCCTCTTCCCAGCCTTCAGTTTGAGGTTTTAAATTAGAGGAAAAGGAAGGAATTGGACAGTGAAAAAACTTGAAAAGCGGAAGTTGGGTTTGAAGGAGAGAAACAGTTGATCCTCTGGAAGCCTGGGGCACGCCCTTGCTGAGAGAAGGAGGAAGTTGGTTCACTAACCAAAGCATCACTGGAAAGAGTCAAATGCCTGTAGTGACCAGACAGGGTAGAGTGAAGGATGATGGACACTTGGTTATTCAGTGCTTACGTTTACATCCGTGAACTCATTTAATCTTCCCAGTGATTCTACAGGTTGGGTACTGTTATAATCTACCAGTTACAGGTGAGGAAACCCAGGCCTAGAGAGGGGACATAACTTGCTCACAGTCACATAGCTGGCAAGTGCTGGAACTAGGCTTACACTCAGGCAGGCTGACTCCAGAGCCACAGTCTTCACCACTGTGCTTTGTACACCTCCTAGGAGTGGGAAGGATGGGAGAACATGCCACTCCTGTCATTCTAAAAGAAAGATGGCAACACAGTATTGGCAGGGGGTTATAAAATACCAAGAGGTATCATGTAGAAAAACAGTAGCTTGAAGGACAGGAGATGACATAGAAATATAGTGTTACAAAGGATTTTTGTTGTTGTTGAGAAGGAGGTTACCAGGGATTGAACCCAGGTGTGCTCCACCCCTGAGCCACATCCCCAGCTTTTTTTAAATTATTTTTTATTTTGAGACAGGGTCTCACCAAGTTTTTGCTTACAGCCTTGCTGGGTTGCTGAGGCTGGCTTTGAACTTGTGATCCTCCTGTCTCAGCCTCCCAAGCTACTGGGATTTCAGGCATGTGCCACTGAACCTGGCTAAAGTTTTTTTGCTATATGTGAGATAGTGTATTATTTGAAGATAGATGGTGCTAAAGATTTGAAGAGATATATTGTATTCCTTTAGCAACCACTTAAAATTATCAAAAGACATAACCAAAAGGCCAATAGTGAAATACAATACTGTCTTAATCCAGTACTAGACAAGAAGAGAGAAAAGGATGAAGAGCAGATGGGACAAATAGAAAACAACTAGGAAGATAGTACATTTCAAGGCAACCATATCAATAATTGTATGAACTATGAGTAATGTAAGCATTCCAAACGAAAAGCATAGTTTTCTGATATTCATAATTTGTGACTTCTTTTTTTTTCTTGGTCAGTTTATTCAAGGTTTATCAATTTTATTGGATGTTTTTCAAAAAACTAATGTGAGAGTTTTATGTGCCAACTTGACTGGGCTAAGGGATGTCTAAATAAATTCCTGGTAAAATGGCAAAATATTTCTGGGGGTGACTGTGTGGTATTTCCAGAAGAGACTGATGCTTGAATTGGTGGACTGACTAAAGAAGACCCCCCATGAGCTGTGTAGGTGGACATCATTCAATGCACTGAGGGTCGGAATAGAACAAGGAGGTAGGAGAAAGTAAACATCCTCTCTTCTTGAGTTGGGCACATCCGCCTTCTCCTGCCTGTGTTGGAGCTCCTGGTTCTTGGGCCTTTGAACTCAGATTGGATCCCACCCCTGGCTTTCCTCGTCTTTCAGCTTGTAGAGGCAGATCCTTGACTTGGAGGCTTTCCAAATCACATAATTGGCAAAAATTTAAAAGATTTTTCTAATTTCCCTTGTGTTATGGATTAAATTATGTCCCTAAGAAAATATATATTCCTCTCCCAAGTAAAATTTCAATAAATTTAAGAAATGCCAAAAGAGAAGAAAAGATATACTGCTGGGTGTAGTAGCTCAGAAGGCCGAGGCCGGAGGATCTCACGTTCAAACTCAGCCTCAGCAGCTTAGCAAGGCTGTAAGCACTTTTGTTCCCAGCTTATAAAGAGCATTTTTCTCCAGCAAATATTTAGTAAGACCCTGTCTCTAAATAAGATATATTTTAAAAGGGCCAGGGATGTGGCTCGGTGGTTAAATGCCCTGGGTTCAATCTCGATACAAAAAAAAAAAAAGATAAGAAAAGAAAAAAGGTCTAAGACTGTACCTCAGTGGTAAAGCTCCCTGGGTTCAATCCAAGTAAACAGTCCCAAAATAAACAAATAAATAAATAGACTTTTTAGAGCTCTAGCCAACTTCCACTTGTGCAGTATTGATCACAACTGTGTCACATGGCCACCAGTAGCTACAAGGAAAACTGGGAGAGCATCCATGATCCCTGGTCTCCTAGTAGTAGCTGGAAATGTCCATCAGGTCAGCCAGAAAGCAGTGCTGGACACAAGGAACAGCTGAAGCTCAAACTCGGCCATCCCAGGCCCAGGCCAGTGCTCTTTACAAGCTGGGAACAAATATTTATTGGACAAGAACCTGTCTTAGCATGGAGGACCCACAGATCTATAACGTAGGCCTTTCCCCAAAGGAGCCCACTCTTGGGTGGATTCCCTAGATAGTTATTTCACCATTTTCCTACTAGAGTGACAGCCAGATGAAGGGGCATGGGGACAGCCTAGAGGATGGTGTAGCAACTCCACCAGGCCATTAGGGCACCAGGCTCCTGTGTGAGTGTCACCGCATCCTCGCACCTCTGGTTTCAACCTCGTGGTGGCCTGATGGCTGTTCCGCCTCCAGCATCACACCCATATTTCAGGAAAAGGGAGAAGAAAGCAACAAGGAAGAAGTAGTGCCAACATCAGAACAAGTGAAATCTCCAGCAGGGAGCCTCCTGGGTTTGGTATTTTACGTAAAAACGTCTTTCACAATCCTTGCTTGATAATCTAGCAGGAGAGTGCAATGGAGCCGCAGACAGCACGTGATTTAGGAAAGCGGAGATGTCAGGTACGGTGCTACTGTCACCTGAGCCATCACCAAGGAGGACAACCCATCAGAATTCTGTTTTGTTTGGATCATTTTCATAAGACATGGAATGATTTCTAATGTTTTTGGAGTCTCGTAAGACCATTTTATTTAAATTGTTCTTCCAAGGGCAGATTTGTATTAACAAAGACTAGAAGCTGTCAGTAATAGTCATGAATATTCATACCAAACTGCATATTGCAGAGGAGAACATAAATGATACCCTAATAAATGTTCTCTGTTTTGCACAGTATCAAATCCAATTCCTCGAGCCATTTTATAACACCCAACAAAATCTGTTGATTTATTGCTGCAGGGAAAGGAATGTCTCCTTCAACTCTTTCTGAGACTAGTTTACTTTATTGTGAAAACTTAGTTTTTTTTTTTTGTTTTGTTTTTTTTTTTTTTTTTGAACCAGCTCTGGGATTTTATTAGCTAATATTCCAGGCAACGAACAGGCTTTCAAAGCTCAATCTTGATGGCATAAAGGGAGGAGGATGAATAGGTGTTTATTTGCTGATAATAATTTTATAGCATTTGTCTTCCACCTGGTTCACTGGCCAGCGCTGTCACATTTACACTCTTAGGCATAAAAGAGACAGAAAAACAGAGGGTTTTGTTTGTTTGTTTCAAACTTGGGATTTGATTGCCTGAACAAATCTGAAATAAGGACCCCAGGAGGCTGGGTATCAGGTGAGTCACCCTCAGGACTGCTTGAAACACTGCCTTAGAAGAGGCCTCAGAAGCTGATGAAGAGCCTCTGGGGTCCAGGTTGTAGGGATCCAGGTTGTAGGGATCCAGAGAGGAATTTCCAGCAGGAGGTTACCTTTGACCTGGGCTTAGAGGGAGGTGGGATTCAAAGTAGGCAGAAGAAAGAGTCATAAAAGGCAGTGGCCCAAGCCAACACAGAGAGGTAGGAACGTGTGGCGTATGTGCAGAAAGGACGCGTTTTCCTCTTTGGCTTGGAAAGGGTGATAGAGGCCTACAGACAGCCTGGAGGATGGTGTAGCAACTCCACAAGGCCATTAGGACACCAGGCTCCTGTGTGGGTGTCAACCACAGCCATGCTCCATGCTCCACCCTGACCCAGGGAATGGGTACAAACCCTACTCTCTAGATGCACAGAGCAGATACTGAGGACCTGAGGTAGGTCTGTCAAGTTAGATCCCTCCCTACATGTTTTACATGTTAGACTTTCTTCTGTATTGATGGAAGTCAAGAATATACCAGTGAGACTCCGGAGCTTGAGGCAGGAGGATTGCAGATTCAAGGCCAGCCTCAGCACCTTAGCAAAGGCCCTAAGCAACTATGCAAAACCTTGTCTCTAAATACAATACAAAAAGGGGTTGGGGATGTGGCTCAGGGGTAAAGCGCTCCGGGATTCAATCCCTGGTACCAAATATATATATGTATGTGTGTGTGTGTGTGTGTATACACACACACACATCAGTGAATGAGTGTGTGCTACAATTCCCTATGGGAATTTCCCAAAGAATCCCCAGGCATTCCATGATGGTAAGCTACTGGCTCAATGAAAACATCAGCTTCTCTGCGGCTGCAGATGAACCCAGTGCCACCACTGCTGGTGATGCCGGGGACGGAGTCCCCCATTGGAAGGAGTCCTGAGGAACAAGACTGGGCCCTGCAGTCCGTGATATACTGGAAAGAACAGCGTGGCTGCTTGTTCTACACAGATCTAAGAGAACAAAGTAGTGCTGTTCCTGAGGGATGATGCTGAACTCCGAGTGTCAGGTGACCTTCAGTCTCTTGCACTAAGTGCTTTGCAAAGAAGGAAATCCAGAGGGGGTTCTGGTAATTGTGTCACTTTTACTTCACCAGGTACTTTACAAAACCTTGAATATTAAATTTTTACATGAGTAATACTGTTAGATAAATGCAGCTGTTACTTTATTTTTTGGAATAGAAATGGCAAAGAGAAGGGAAGTGACTTTCCCAGCAACTTCCAGCTCGTAATAAAGAGGGGGACATGATCACAGACCAGGCAGGAAGGGGCAGAGCCTGAGGAGGAGTGGGGTGGTGGGAGGAGATCCAGAGGAGCTAGCACTGGGGACTCAGTCTGAGGACAGCTGAGGGACCAGGAAAGCAGGTTCTCAGAACAGGTGCTCAACCTCAGTCTCAAAAGTGCAGAGGTCAGGTTCCAGCTCTGCCTCCTACGTGAGCCTCTGAAGCGCACTCACCCTTGCCACGAGGTGTGCCCTCTCTGTGCACAGAAAGGAAGTCTGGGTGTGAAAGTCCATGCCAAGATCACAATCCCAGGTTCCATGATGATGTTGGGGGGGTGGCAGCGGGGAGGGGTTCTAGATGGAAACACTGCAGCAGTGCAGTGTCCACCAGGGTCTCTTGACCCCAAGTGTGAATTCCCTCTCTCTCCTTCAGACCTGACCCAGAACCAGACCTCTACATCCCAGGATTCCTGCAGCGAGGGAGATGACCTTGACCTGCACCATCCAGACATCCACAAAGAGATCAGTTCCTGGAAGGAACCACCATGTCCTCCAATACTGCTGTCTCCAGCAATGACTCCTCTTCCTCCTCCTCCTCTTCCTCCTTTTCCTCTTCCTCCGGGCTGCACCTCACCCTGAAGCCCGAGGACCATGGCACCATCATTGGGCGTCACTTGAACTTCTCCCTAGAGAACTCGACCAGAAGTAGCCTGGCCAAGCTCCAAGCGGTCTGTGAGTGCTGGGGACATGGGAAAATGGTGACCCCAAGAGAAAGTCCTGGGTCCTTGATTGCAACAGTCACATCTCCCCTACCCTCTGGGCCCAAGAGGTCAGGGTTAAGAGCAGAGCCCGAGTTTGGGGCAGATGATGGGGAGCCTCTCTGCATCCCAGCCCCACTCTGAGATTCTGAAACTCCTTGAAAAGAACAACTAAGGGGCTGCAGTTGTGGCTCAGCGGTAGAGCGCTCACCTAGCACCTGTGAGGCACTGGGTTCCATCCTCAGCACCACATAAAAATAAATAAAGATATTGTATTCACCTAAAAATTAAAAAATAAATATTTTTTTTAAAAAGAAAAGAACAACTAAGGGGAGAGCTGGGTCCTGGGGGGAGCAGGGAAGCCGGGTGCTTTGCTGACTCCCACTCCCTCTCCACAGCACCCGCCAGGCTGCTCAACTCCTCTTGCTCCTTGGAGAAGACGCTGCAGTGCAGCTGCTCCTTCCACGGGATCCCCACGCCCTCTGTGCAGTGGTGGGTGGGCGGTGTCCCTGTGGGTGTGAACAGCGTGGATGGCGGCCTCCAGGTGACTTCCACCACGCTTGGCCCCTGGGTCAATAGCACCATCAGCCTCAGGGGGGATCCAGAAATAGTCAGGAGGCTGCACTGTGCGGGCAGGAATCCGTATGGAATCCACACTTGCAGCATCTTCCTGATACCAGGTGAGTGTACTGGGGCCTGCGAACCCCCACCACAGTGAAGACACCTCAGGACCAGGACGGGATGGGCCCAGGGTGGGAGGAGAGAGCACAGACCTCAAGTCCCTAGGAGAAAACCAACCCTCTCTTCCCCATCACAGGTAAGAGCTCCGTTTCCAGCATGTTCCTGCGAGGGCTGGTCCAGGGCACGGTGTGCGGGGCCATGGCGTCCGCGCTGCTCCTCTTCTGCCTTGTCCTCCTTGCGTGAGTACCAGAGTTCAAGGGCATCGCCAGCCTGCCCAGTGCACGCTGCCTTTTCCTGTACTTTCTTCCAGTTCATTTTGTCTGTCTCCCTTCTCGAAAGGGACTGTATGTCCTTGACCCTTGTGCTTGATCTGCATTGAAGGCTGCAAATCGCCCTCTAAGCACCACTTTAACTGCACCTCATGGAGGTTGATATGAATTACTTATATTCTCATTTGGTTAGGATATTTCTCATTTCCATGATAATTTTTTGACCCACGGGCTTTTGTAGATACCAATATTTTCTAATGATCTTTTTGATTCTAGCTTAAATTCAATAAGATGAGAAAATATACTATGTATTACTTCAATTTCTTATTTTCTTTGTAGCACAATTTTTGTTTAGTTTTTCATACACATTCCATGTGGGCTTAAAAAGAATATGTTACTCTACATTTGTTGAATTACCCATGATTTGTAGATAAAGGATTCATCCAGGATCATCATTTGTCTTTGATATGTCTGTGATTCCTTAACCAAGATCCATCCAGGGAGAGGCGAAGGGGCCCATCCACGCCCGCACACAGAGACAGGAAGCCCCTTGTAGGACATGCAGACTTTTACCCATAATGTCAAGATAAACCAGAATGTGTAAAATAAAAAGTCCCCAGACAAAGCTGCACACATGGCGACAGGGTGGTAAGCTATGGACAAGCAGGGTGGGGGCGCCTGGCTGAAGGGCCGGGTGCCACAGGAGGCCTGGAGCTGGGGAGGTGCAGGGCCATCTCTAAGGCCAGGTGGGGCACAGACTGGAGGCTGGGAGAGGGTCCACACCCAGAGAGCAGGGGTTTGTGTCTGTCCGCTGGGGTGAAGCAGGCAGTGCTGATCACAGAGGGAGCAAGAGGAAGGGCCTGTTCTTCTGGCTCCAGGCTGAGCTCCCTGTGGGAATAGTGGGGGAGGCAGGGACTGCAGTGGGGGCGGGACTGAGCCCAGCACTCACCCGAGGGCTCACTGCCTTAGGATGAAGATGCTTCGGTGGAGGGCCAAAGAAGCCCTGGCCCTCAGGAGACCAGAGTTGCTGGGGCAGCCAGAAGCATCCAGTGTATTGGAAGCTGCAACCCCACAGGCCTGGGCTGGAGGTAAGTCCCTGTGCCAGGCTGAGCCCAGCCACCAACCTGCGGGGCTGCAGGCCAGGGCCACACTGGCCCAGCAGAACCACCCGGGGGCACTTATTAGGGACCGGTTCCTACCCAGCCCCCACACAGCACCCTTGCGCTGGCAGCAAGCTCTCCAACTCCTTCCCAGTGTGACGGCCGGCACAGGGGGCTGCGCCAAGGTCCCTCAGAGCAGGGGAGCCCTATGCTGCCCCTGATGAGGACCCTCCTCAGGGCATCAAGCCCAGCCCCCAGCCCTTGGGGAAGGCCCTGCGGACGCAGGACAGTGAAGACTGGCAGCGGGGCTTCATTACTCTGCTGGGGCTGCCACAATAGAGCAGCACAGACTGGGAGCCTTCAAACACTGCAATGAACTTTCTCAGATTCTGGAGACTAGAACTGGAGATCAAGGTGTGGGCAGGGCCCGTGGATGCCCCGCTCCTCCCTGCATCCTCACACGGCCTTCCCCTGTGTGTCCGTGTCCTGACCTCGTCTTACAGCGCACACAGGATTAAGACCCCCACCTGACTCCACTTTAGCGTGATTACCTGTGTGAATCTGTCTCCCCTAATACAGTGGCACAGTGAGGTGCGGGGGGTTAGGACTTCAAAAGAGAAGCCAGTTCCACCCACAGGAGAGGATTAAAGGGCTGAATGGATCCCAGCCTGTGTGAGGCCCAGCGAGGGCAGGAGGCTTGCCCCAGGCAAGCAGAGGGGCAGAAGGGCAGAGCGTGTGCTTCCCCCACAGCCCAAGGCTCTGGCAGGAGAAGGCAGAGTGTTGTGAACTAGAGGATCACGACGCGCTGTGGTGCCACCAGTCCCGCCCAGCCTGCACAGACTGCAGGGCAGGAGGAGACTCCAGCCCGAGCTCCAGGCCTGGGGCCCGGCTGCCTGGCTCTCACCAGTTGCTGGACAAACCTCCTCTCCCAGGCCCCCACCTGCCAGGCCCTGGGCGGGGACACAGAGGAGTCAGAGCCAGGTCCTGCCCATTTGGAACTCCAGGTCCTCACAGCCCTGGAACTGCCTGGGGGCTGGGGCTGGCCTGCGGAGGGAGGGCTTGGCAGTGTACCTGAGCTGTGCAGACTCGCAGGGAGGTGGCATTCCCCACACAGCAGGGACTCAGAGAGCCCGGGCAAGGGCAGGACAGACCATCCCGAGAAATGAGCCGGCTGACCCTGGTGTAGCCAGATCACCTGCTGTCTACTCTTAGCAGAGCTCCTGAACACAGTACCATCAGCTGCAGCCCCAGGGTCATGTGCGCCCTGCGTATCTCCTCATTTGTGTCCCTTCACCATGTCTCCCTGTTTCTCCTCACCCCTGGTAATCACTGTTTTTTTTCCATTTCTGTGTTTGACATGGTTGTTTTAGATCCTACAGATGAGTGAAATCATGCAGTGTTTGCCTTTTGGTGTCTGGCTTCACTTAAGAGTGTCCCCAGGTTCATCCAGGACAAATGGCCAGGTCCCTCTCTTTTAAAGGCTGTGTAGTATTCCAGTGTGTGTGTGTGTGTGTGTGTGTGTGTGCGCGCGCGCGCGTCCTTTCTTTCTGACTCTTTCCCTTTTTTGCTCTTCCCTCCCCTCCTGCATTTGCTCATTTCCCACCTGACCCCAGGTGCCACACTACACAGGGCACTGCAGGGACCCGGCCCAGATGGGCCAACACCCCGCAGACCAGGACAGACTTACCACGTCAGGATGCAGGTGGGACCATGCATGTGTCAGAGGACACCTGTGTTGCCCTCTAGGCCAGGTCACTTCCGGCTCCTGGAGAAGCTCTGTGGGACCAAGAGGAGAGCCGAGCCCTCAGGGAGCAGCTCCTGCTCTCATCAGCGGTCAGTTGGGGGGACAGGTAAAAGCCCAGGAGATGGAGATGGACAGCCCCCGGCAGCCCGTGCTTCAGAAGGCGGTGGGAGCGACCGTGGAGGAGGCGCTGGCCGGGACTGAGCACGCTCCCAGCCCCGCACACCATCGCCCACTTTCCCCAGCAGCCCATGCACCTGGCCAGGTTAGCAGGCCCACGTTACAGAGGAGGAAACGGAGGCCCAGAGGGGGCAAGAAGCCACCCAAAGGAAGCACCCAAAGTTCCCAGTGGGCCCCATCCTTACCCACGAGGAAACTGCAGAACAGAAAGCAGAGGGTCCCTCCCAGGGCCTCAGCCTGAGGGGCAAAGGCAGATGGTCTCCTGCCCTCTCCTGCCCTCTCCTGCCTGCTCCAGGGCCACACCCATCGGGCTCCACCCACAGGGCTCCACCTCCAGGGCCAGGCCAGGCTGCGCCTCCCACCCCACCCCTAAGTCCATTCACCTGCACCCTGCTTGGTTGGAGGATGGCCGAGGGTAAGGCTGCCACCATCTCCTGAGAGGGGACAGCACCCCCCGCCCCCGTGGGTCACAGCAAAGAGTATGCACCTGTGGTCAGCCACGGGGATGTCGGAGCCAGGCCACGTGTTAGGATCCCAGTCCTGGCCCTGAGCACGGGGTAGCTGTGTCCCTTTCCCAGCCTGCATCACAGCCAGGTGAAGAGTGCCTGGTCACTCGGCAGCCAGCCGGGCGGCGTGGGCACCACGGCAGCAGCCCTTGTCTCCCGAGCCCTCTGTCCACGCCGGCCACATTCTGGGCATGTTCCATGGATGCTCCCATTTGTATCTGTCCAGGCTCCACCAGCGGAACAGCTCCAGCAGCAGACCCACCCTGAGATCCTCGGCAGAGATGGGCTCCCGTGATGGGGACGGTTGGCAAGGCAGGTGCCGGAATCCGTGCTCCCCCAAAACTCCTGTGTTGAAATCTGACCCCCAGATTTGGGGAGGTGATTAGGTCATGAAGACTGAGCCTTCACAAATGGGACAGATTCCCTTAAAAGGCAGAGTCCTCCATCTGCCACATGAGGACGCGGTATAAAGACCCCATCTGTGAACCAGACGCAGCCCTCACCAGACACCAAATCTGCTGGCACCTCAGTCTTGGACTTCCCAGTCTCCAGAACTGTGAGAAAGAAACCTCCGTTCCTTATAAGCCTCCCAGTCTGTGGTGTTTTATTACAGCACCTGGAGCTGACTAAGACAGCAAGTTGGAAGTCTGCAGGGAGGAGACTCAGGCAGCAGCTGGAGCTGGGGTCCCAAGCAGAACCTCCTGCTCCTGGGGAACCTCCGCTCTGCTCTTACGACCTGTCAGCTGATGGAATGAGTCCCGCCTACGCCGTCACGATAATCTTCACTTACAGTCACCAGATTAGAACCACAACAACCACCCAGGGAACTGCATGAGAGGCATGCGTTAGTTTGCTTGACCGTAGCCATCAGCTCGCCTGTAAATGTGCCTGAGAATGTCACGTTGGGCACTGTGAACATGAACAGTAAAGTCAGCTGATTAGAAACGTCAGTCACTTCTACAAATACCTTTGGGACCACACCTCTTCCAGTGTTTGATCAAACAACTGGGGACCCCTGCTGAGCCAGGCCAACACCCACCACTGACCACCACACCGCTGGATCCTCGCAGCCCTGGGAGCTGGGCCCCAGGGTTACCCCATCGTGTGGGGAGGATGAGACTGAGAGGGGTAAGGAACTGGGCTGATGGACCCTCCCCATCCACCCTGTGGATGACGACATTCAGCGAGTGACTTCAACCAGGGGCAGGGCACAAAAACAGAGAGTGTGTCCCTGTGTGTCTGTCATGCCTGATCTTGTCCCAGAGGGGGGGATCTTTGAGGCTGAGGGGCATTTGGTCAATGAGCAGGGTGGAGGCTCCTATCCTTCAAGAACACTTTGAGTGCCTGCTCTGTGCCCGGCCCTGAGGACAGAGCCCCGAGGGAGGCGGGGTTCCCAGGACACGCTGAGGCCCGCCGAGGACTCACCGGTGGGTGAAGCCCGACTCCTCCTCAGTCCCCTCCTAGGAGGCAACACCGTCCTTGGTGCCCTGTGCTCCCTTCCTGAGGCCGTCCCCAGCTGGGAGCTCTGCCCTCACGGGGCGGGGAGAAAGGCTGCTGCTTGGGAAAGGCTGCTGCTGGCACCTGCAACACACAGGACGCTCCGGCACCGGGGACCGTCAGCCAGGGGGGCCACGGTGCCGAGGTGGAGCGGCCCTGGCTAGGGGCTGATGTACACGCAGGCCCACGGTGTGCTGCTGCACCTCCAGACTCATCACGCAGTGTCACGTGCTCAGCGTCCTCAGAACAAGCCCTCGAACCCGCCCCAGATCAGTGTCCTTTGGACGTGGTTTGTCCCGTGGGGGGTTCATGTGCCAGAAGCCCAGGCCCCAGTTGGATCTACTGACATGTGGCAGGACGGTCACAGGTGGAGCCTAGTGGGGGGTGTGATGGAATGACCGTGGTGGCACCACCCTCAGGAGGGACTAATGTGGATCTCCAAGGGAGTGGCTAGGTCTCCCGTGGGGCTGGGTTGGTTCTCAGGAGACTGGGTTCTTTAAAAGAGTGGCCCTGACCCCTCCTTGGTCTCTTGCTCACTCTTTGGCCATGTGGGTTTCCTCAAATATGCTCCCTCCATGTGATGCCATCTGCCATGTTGGTCCCAGAGGGGTGTCAGAAATCGTGCTGTTTGGACTGTCACGCCGTCAGAATCATGAGCCAAATAAACCTCTTTCTTTATACCTTACCCAGCATCGGGCATTTTGTTGTAGCCACACAAGTGGACCAGGACCCCCAGGGCATGGATGCAGCCTTCCTGGTGATGGACGTTCAGGCAGACCCTCCTCCCTGAGCACAAGGGACAACCCTAAGCTGCTGATCCTTGTCTGTCGCCTTTGGGCAGGCATGAGATAACTCTGCAGGAGAAAACTCGGAGCGTGGACTTTCCAGGTCATAGAACAGTTACATCACTTTCATGGATCAGGCCAAATTGCCCTCCACAGAAAGGGAGCCGACGTCATTCCTGTCAATAACTGGCAGTACCAATCTCCTGTGAAACCAGGCTCCTTTTATTGCCCATACAATAGATGAAGAAATAGTATCTGTGGCCATTAAGGTTCTTTACTTTGCTTATTTGCTGTGAAATTGAGCATCTTTCACACTCTTGCGCCTTCCAAGCATTGTCACTTGGGCTTCCGGCCGCCACCCAGACCCTATGAAACCTTAGCATAAAGGAGCACACTCAGTGAGCAACAGCGGAGCCACTAATGGCGCTCGGTCAGCAGGGTCCTGCCAGGGAGGAGTCAACCCCTTGCAGTGGTACTTCTTAAACAGACTTTCTAATAAAGGCACCACTTACAGGTGTGTGCGGGGTCACAGACACAGACGGTCCCCAACCTAAAAGGGGTCACTTCACAATAAACCCGTGGTGAGTTGAAAATACCGTAAATTGAAAATGCAGTCCACACACCAACTGAGCATCCAGCTGAACAGCACAGTGCACGGCAGTGATGCCGGTTACTCACCCTTGGGACCCCAGGGCTGATGGGGAAGTGGCCCTATGGGCATGTGACAGTCCCACGCAGCCTGTGACCAGCCCAGGAGAAGGTCAGATTCCAAACTCAAAGCACAGTTGCTTCTGAATCAAAAAACAGTAAGTTGAGCCACCCTAAGTCAGGGTCTCTCTGCCCAAGGAATGGGAAGGCTCTCAGCTTCCAGCAACAGGAGGGAGGGTCCTTGTCAGGTTCTGCTGAGACCTGGAGGAACAGGGGGGAGAAATGGCGTAGCTGCCACCTGCAGAGGATGCCGATCACCAAGAGGGGCTGCCTGCGGCCTCCACTGCCAGAACTGAACCATGGTGGGGCGGCGGCCCAGGGGTGTACTCTCCAGCCACCCACCAGCCTTCTGTCCGTGCCTCCCTTTGTCCAAGCTGACCTGGAGGATGAAGGGCAAGGGAGCTTGCAGATGTGGTCAAGGTCACCCCTGGGCATGAAGCAGGCAAACAGAGGATGGGGAGGGATGTGGTGTGCTGGCCTGAGTAAGGGTTCCCAAGGACATCAGGTCGGAACCCTGGAGCCTAGCAAGTTTATGAGACGTGATGACATGAATAAAAAAAAAATTAAAATGTGATGAAGATAAGGATTTTGAGATGAGATTATCCTAGATTATGCAGCTCTATCCTAAATGCAATCCCAAGTGTCCTTCTGGGAGGCAGAGGGAAATTTGAGCAGAGACAGAAGACAGAAGGCCATGTCAATACACCCAGAAACTAGGCAGATCTGGCAGGAAGCCAAGGCACAGGGTAGGCACCAGAAATGGAAGGCAGGAAATGGATTCTCCCCTTAATGCCTCTGAGGGAGTCCGGCCCTGTTGACACTTGATCATGGATTCTGACCTCCAGAATTGCAAGAGAAAAAAATGTGAGGTTTTTTTTTTTTTTTAATTTTTTTGGGGGGGAGTTGTAAATGCTTTTCTTTCTTCCTTTTTTTCTTTCTTGTGCTGAGGATTGAACCCATTGCCTCACACATATTAGGCAAGCGCTCTGCCACTGAGCTAAAGCCCCAACCCCATGTGAGTTGTTTTGAGCCACCAAATATGTGATAATTTGTTACAGCAGCCACAGGAACTAATACACATGGGAGCGGGCATGTGCACTAGAGACAGCCCAGTGGCACGCCCTCACGGCCCTCACGCTGAGCCAGGTGCTGAGCGAAATGCTTTCCATGCATGAGGCAACTTGCTTACTTCCCAGGGCAACTCTGTTGGGCCACAGCCACCATCTCCAGTGAGGGCTGAACCTCAGCCTAGGGAAGGAGGCCCCTTTTCCAGGGTAGCTCCTTTGAGTACCCTCCCTGAGTCCTAGGCCATCCTTTTGAGTTCTTCTTTACCCCTCTATAGAGGACCACCTGTTACCATCACTAGTTCCTTAAACTTTCTGTGTTCAATTTAGAACATTTGGCAGGGCAAATTGCTAATCTTTCTGTGCCTCAAAAACACTGGGCTTATTAACACCTCCACTTCACAGAGTTGCCCTGAGGTTTTCTGGGTTGCCAGGCCAGCGCTGATCCACAGGTGCTGATAGGCAGAAGACCCTCTACAGCGCAGGCAGGCTGAGGCCAGGAGACTCGAGCTGGGACAGACTGGGAAACCATCTAAAGGGAAGCCACTGAAACCTGATGGAGTTGAGCACCCTGAATGTCCCCTTTACCTGTCTCCAGTGACCTCAAGACAGGAGCACAAAGCAGCCCACATAAAAATCAAACCACAGAGAACCCGGCTCCTCCCACAGAGTCCCTCTGGCTCCTTCTGCTGCAAAGGAAATATATTTAAAGTCTGCAGCTCCATTTTTGCCAAGCAGGCAATAAAGGGTAGCTATGAAGCTGAGAGGCAATAATAAAGCAGTATTAAAGATTAAGCATGCCTAACTTGAAAATCTGGAACTCAAAATGCTCCAATGGAATCCAAAGCTTTTTGACACAACACTCCTAAAACTCTGGATTGGGGAGCATTTCCAATTTCAAACTTTCAGATTAGGGATGCTCAACCAGTAGACTGTATGCAAATATTCCAAAATCCGAAACACTATGGTCCTAAGCATTTGGGAGAAGGGAAACTCAGGCCTGGGAGGGTGGGGTCACTTGGGAAGGACAGAGGCAGGAACAAATACACAGGACAAGCCAGTGAGACTCTTAAGTCCCAGAGAGTGTTCAACAGGCACAGAGGAGGGAAAGGATGCTTCAGGCTGCAGGGACACTTGGGGACAGCAGGAACAGAGTGCTCTGGATCACTCTAAGGAACACAAGCAGTCTGCAGTGATGGAGAGAGGGGTGAGGGTGGGCAGGAAGCTGACCTCTGTGGTCCTGAGCTCCTCACCTCTGTCCTGGGCTGTCTTTCCCATCACCCCATATTGATTCCTGCCTCTTACTAAGGGTCTGCCATGCCCTGAGCCATCTGTCGTGTTAATAGCTCACTGAATTCTCTTATGGCCTATGAAGACGTCTGGTGACCCAACTCCCAGTTCTCAAAGTACAACTACTTTGACTCTCACTGTCTAGGTTAGGAAAAACTAAGGCACAGAAGGGCAGTGCTACCTGTCCACAGACAGCCAAGGTCTGGACTCAAGCCCAGGCCATGTGGCTCTGCACGCTCTGGTCTGTCCTTCACCATCTGTCTTTGGAGAGGCCTTCTTCAGGGGCCCCAGGCTGGTCACAATGAGAAGGTGCCTGGCGCTCTCAGGGGGTGCCCACAAAGACCAAGTGGGAAGGGGAAGAAGGGACTAACTACGGGTCCTGAGCCACCAGCTGCTCCAGGGGCTCTCATCCTTCTCTACAACCTTGGGAAAGCAAAGCTATTCCACTGCAGTTGAAAGCACCCAGGTCTCGGAAGAGAACTGACTTACCCAAGGACACACAACCAAGTCACTGAAAGCCCTGGGATCCCATGCTTTGTGTCTCAACCCTTTTCCACGATCAGGTTCAGGGTCCCTCCCCATTGCCCTACTATCCTCCTGATGAGGATGGGGTGAAGGGAAGAATAGAGGAGCTGAACTGTGTCCCACAGGGAGAGGGGGGCAGAGGAGAGGAGGGTTGGGCCTGGACCCCTGGGTCTGAGGGAGGAGGCTGGGCCTGGACCCCTGGGTCTGAGGGAGGAGGCTGGGCCTGAACCCCTGGGTCTGAGGGAGGAGGCTGGGCCTGAACCCTGGGTCTGAGGGAGGAGGCTGGGTCTGGACTCTGGGTCTGAGGGGGGAGGCTGGGCCTGGACCCCTGAGTATGAGGGAGGGTCCTTGGAGCCAGGACTCCAGGGTCTGGGGAGAATGAGACTGGAACCTGCAGGAGGGAGCCGGGTTTAGGAAGAGTCTCAGACTCGTGTTGGAGCCCGGAAGACGCGGGGTGCCCGGGGCGGCGGGGTGGGGGCCGGGCCGCAGTAACAAAGGCCTCTCCCTCCAACAAGCAACCCCCCCTCGGCCCCGCCTCCGCGGCCCCCCGCCTCCCCTGATTGGCCGGTCTCCCTGCCCGTCAGCGCCGCCCCCCTCCCCGGGTCTGCTGCAGCTCCGGCCGCCTCGTCGCGCCCCCCCAGCCCCCTCCCCCCGCCCCCGCCGCCCCCCGGGCCGGTGCAGCCGCAGGCGGGGTCCCCCTCCCCCTCCCCCTCTCCCCCAGGCCTCGCGCGCCCCGGACCGGCCCCCCCTCTCCCCTCCCCCTCCGCGCCGCCGCTGCCGCGATGCCCCCCCCTGCGCCCGGGGCCCGGCTCCGGCTCCTCGCCGCCGCCGCCCTGGCCGGCCTGGCCGTCATCAGCCGAGGTACCGCAGCGCCGGGGGCGGGGGGGCTCGGCCGGGACGCCTGGGTCTGGGGCGGGGGATGGGACTGGGTGCGGGGCTGCGTCCCCGGGCCGGGAGGGGAGCGCTGGACGCCGAGGTCTGGGCCCGCCGCAGGGGTTGCATTCCCTGGCCGGGAAGGGGGTCCTGGCAAGTCCCGATCCGCGCCCTGGGGCCGGGGGATCGTGTCCCGGGGCTGGATCCTGGGCCCAGGGGCGGAGGTCCGCTTCTCGTCGCCTGCTAGCAAGGGGGTAGCGGACACCTTGTCCGGGCCTGGGGGGCCAGAGTGTGTGCCTCTGGATCGCGGAGGGGGCTCTGACGCTGGAGTAGGGGTTCCCAGGCATGATCTGCGAACCGAGTTGGGGTGCTGAGGAATGATGCGGGTCAAGGGTCTTGCCTCTGCCTGGAGAGGGTCCCTAAGGGAGTTCTTGCCTGGGGGCTGGGGCATGCGTCTCTGGACAGAAGGGTGGGGGGATGGATATCTTCCCAGGGTCAGTAAAAGTAGGGGACACAGTGTCCACAGACCTAAATCCCAGGGCCAGGAAAAGGGAGCCAAGAGCTGAATCTCCCAGTTGAATCTTCTAGGTTAAGAGAAAGTGTTGGCATTTGGGGTGGTGCAATTATGTGGGGGAACGGTACTGGGATCCAGGAGGTTGGGGTGCTGGGCTGGGAACTGATTCCAAAGCTCTGATGAATGTCTGGATTTCTGGTGCTGGACAAAGCATGAGAGATGGACGGATGAAGGACAGGGACCCATTGGAAGCGGAGGGGAGGGGGAAGGGTTAATGCAGGTCACAGGGTTAAGCTTAACCCCACCAGTGGAGACTGGGGGAGGGTCTCCAGCTGAGCTGGAGGGAGTTCTGGTGGAGGATGTGTGGCTGGAGCCTGTGTCTCCCCCGCAGGGCCTGGCTAGGAGGGGATGGTCAAGGAGATGCCCCCAAGGGGAAGGGGAGAGTAGGAAGCCGCTGGGTGGGTGCTCCGGCGGGCAGGGAACAGTGCTCATCCAGTGTCTCTGGAGGATTCCCCAGGCCTTGACCTAACCAAGGGTTAGTGTCAGGGACAAGAAACCCCAACATAGTGACCTCAGCATCAAAGAGGCAGCTGCTCTCAGCCTCCCTACCATATATGCACAGCCACACAAACACCGCCACAGCACTCTGCCCCAAGATGCACCTGCAGACACCCACAGTCGCACAAACACATCCTCGTCCAGACGGGACATCTATGTCCCCACACCAGATCAGGTCAGGGCCAGAGTGGGCCAGAGCACCAACCCCTTGCTGGTGCAGAAGGCTGGGTTGTTATCTGATTTGCAGACCTGCTCTGTGTTCCTCTCTGTCCCTGTCATGGTCTCTTTGGGTCTCTGTGTCTTGGCCATTTCCAGAGACTCCTATCCTGTCTATTATTTGCTGGTGACATTCCATCCATTTCTGTCTCTGGGTCTTTGTCTCACATCTGTCTCTTTGCCTCTCAAACTGTTCCCCATGGTCACCTCCCACCTCTCTTCCTGGCTCCCTTGTTCATACCTCAGTCCTCCTTCACCTGTTTCGTTCTTCCCTTCTTGCTGCCTTCTTCCTCCCCCAACCCCCTGTCCCTTTGTGACCTATTTCTCCTCCCTTCCTCCCTTTCCCCCTTTACTCTCCAGGGAACTTCCCATCTTCCACTTTCTGTCTTCAAGACCCCAGAAATCATTGCCATGCACACATTCTGGGTGGGAGCACTCACTCGCAAAGCCAGGAGTAGCCTGTGACCTTGGTCAATTCCGGCCTCATCGGTGGTATTAGGTTCCCCATCTGAGAACCAAGGACAAGAGATGATGGGGTGGGGGTGAGCCATGACAGCTAGGTGCCAGACAGGCACCCAGCCCACCCACCCACCCACAATTTGCACTGTCTGAAAATAAGCCCTTGGCAAGATATGCAAAATAGTGCCTTCTCCTCTTTTATGGTGATGTTTTCCAAGTTACGAGCTGCACATGAGTAGAACAGTGCACCTTGCAACAGGTATAAGAGCAAACCCTGCGGTGCCCCAGCCTGCCCTCCTCACACCTGCTCTCCCAGAGCCGGGCCAGCGGCGGCTTCTCTCCCTGACACAGGCTCAGACTCAACAGGTCAGTGGAAGAAGAGGACTGGTTGGTTGGGTGATGTTTGTTTGTTTTTCCCAAAATAGAAACAAAAATAAGCCCATTTCTTATTTCCACTTTAAAAAAGCTCCGTGGCATCCATAAATATTAATCTACTTTTATTTTTTTTCTAAATCTTTTATGCCAACACACACACACACACACACACATACACACATCCTCAAGTGTACAAATTCATTCACAAAAGTAGTTACACTGTATCATGAAACAATTCAACAAAATCAAAAGGCAGCTGTAGCAGGGTTGGAGTTCTTTTGCTCCATGGGCAGCTGGTGGAGGGACAATAGCCAAGAAGGGGACAGGAGGGTCGAGTCCCAGTGCTGCCCCTGACCAGCTGTCCATGGGACCTCTGAGCTCCCAGATTGACGGAACGGTGGGCTCTGCTTCATTGGTTCATTTAGCAAATGTTTATTGAGCCTGGAGTCCCTGCTCCAGGCACTCGGGAGACGCACATGGCCGTGAGCGGGCCAGACCGAGTACTGCCCTCATGGAGCTTGTACCACCGTGGGACGGAGAGGTCAAAAGGCAATTGCAAAGTCTCACAGACAAATAGATGGGTCACTTCAGAGAGTGACAAATGGTATAAAAAAGATAAAAGTGACTTGGGAATGAGTTGGCAGTTTGATTCTGGGTGGTCTAGAAGATGAGGCAGCTGAGAGTGGCCTGAAGGAAGACGAGAAGTCAGACCTGGACAGGTCCTGGGGACAGCAGAGGCCCTGTGGTGTGGACCCCCAGTGAGATGGCAGCCAACACGCAGCATCCAGTTCCAGGGTGCCGGGCCCACCGTCCGGACTCCAGGGCCTCCCTAGTGCAGGCTCCCGGGTCAGCAAGCGGGGAGTCTGGGGGTCCCTTGTGCCAGCTGCACCAGGCCCACCCCTTCTCACGGCCCTCCCCAGCCAGATCCTGGGCTTCCTGGTCCCCACTTCACCAAACCAACTCCCTGGAGGACCCGCACAGGCTCACACCCACTGCCAGGGCCCCAGGGCCCCACCCATGGCTTCTAGGACTGTGGGATCGGAGCACTCCTACCCCAGCCCACTGCAAGGTCCCTGCTGGGCCTCAGTTCTTCCAGGAACCTCGGAGAGTCTTCCCCAACTCAAGGTCACTCAGCTTCTAGAAATCTCACCTGTCTGTGACCTTCATTCCTTAATTTATCAAAGGAGTGTGAGGCCCGCTAGTCTGGACTGTGTGGACTATAAGTCCCTCAGGGCAGGGATCCCCGGGGATCCTGTGTGGTCCTGGGGTCCCCCAGGAGGCTCCTGGTGCCTGCAGCTCCGCCTCCTAACAGCCAACTCCCGGACAGCCCTTGCAAGGACGGGGCCACACCAGCAGCCCTACATGTGCCCCTCAAAGTTCCTCTTTTAGTCCACCCGTGTCCCAGGCAGGGAGGCGTGGTCACCATTCCCACTTACAGGTGGGGAAACCGAGTCTCGGAGAAGGGAAGTGATTGTGGGGCTCTGTGGCAATGCTGGGGTTTGAACCAGGCGGTTCAGCTCCCTGCTGTGTTCTCTTGGCCCCCAGGGGAGCTGTGCTGGGTTGCGCCGGGCCAGGAACAGCCATAGATGTTTCTTTAAAAAAGAAGGTGCTGGCCAGGCACAGTGGCGCAGGCTGGTGATCCCAGCAACTCAGGAGGCTGAGGCAGGAGGATTGCCAGTTCAGGGCCAGCCTCAGCAACTTAGGGAGACCCTGTCTCCAAATTCAAAAAACGAACTGGGGATATGGGTCAGTGGTAGAGCACCCCCAGGTTCACTCTCCAGCACCAACAGATAAAAAGAAGGTGCTGCTGGGAATGGCCAGCACGTCGGACCCTCATGCCAGGCTGGTCGCTGGGATCCTTCACGGAAACCCTTGTGGAGAACTCGTATTGTTTTCATTTTTTCCATTTGGACAAACTGAGGCTCAGGTTGACGGGGGGGTCACCCAGGATGGACATGGTGAGCAGACATTTGGTTTCCCAGTCCAGCTCCTTGGGATCTGTTATCTCTGAGGACCTTCCGTTCCCTCTCACATACTTCCCAGCTCTGAACACGGCCAAGAGTCAGGTCCTCAGGGAACCAACTCCTGGTCCGGTGAGGGTCATGAACACCATCTCAACTGAGTCACAGGGGGCCCAGAAGAGGGGGCATGGGCTTTGCCTTGAGCAGAGAGGTTCTCCTGGAGGAGGGGCGTTCATGTCGGTGTCTTGAGGCATGAGTAGGAGTTCGGGAGTTGAAGTGTATCACAGTGTCCATTTAGTTATTCATTCATCAAGGCCTCCAGCCGGCCAGCTCCTGTGTGGGGAGATGCTAGGGACCCAGACGTGAGTCAGAACCAGGCTCTGCCCTCAAGGAACTCCTAGTCTGCAGGGGAAGTCAGACAGCACCGTGTACTGGGCTCCAGGGGAGGTAGCCCAAGCATGTGGGAAACAGACGCTCGCCTGTTTATTGATCAGTAAGTGTCTCCTGAGGCCTCCTGCAGACCAGGAGAGCCGGGCCTTGCTGGAACCCTCCATCTGGTGAGGACAGCAGACCTGACGCAACCCAAGGTGATTGGGGCATGCAGGGGAGGAACCAGGCTCAGGGACAGAGTCGGCTGTGGTCACTGAAGAAGCTCAGCCTTGAACCAATGAGTGGCCCCAGTGACTACGGCCCAGAGAGGGAAAGGGACTCACCCAAGGCCACCCAGCACAGAGGGGGGCCTCCTGATCTCAGAGTTTTGGGGTTTTGTGAGACAGATGCAAAGGCCTGAGATCTCCATAATCATAGATACAGACTAGGAACCAAAGACCTGCTTGAGAGGCGGATTTGCTCATCACGCATTTCCTCGGACTGCCCGAAAGCCAGGCTCTGAGACAGACAACTTCTACCCAAGGTCATGTGATCTGGGAGTGGGGCAGGAGCTCCCCTAGGAAATCTGGGAGGGCCCCTGTGCACTGGGAAACCTGGAGAAGGGTTCCCATGGGACAGTGCGTGTGCTGGGAGAAGAGGGCCGTGCAGAACTGGACCTCACAAGCCAAGGGAGACACGGCCAAGAGTGACACCAGGGTTCCCAACAGACACCAGGCTGAGGCAGCCTGGTTCTGGGGGCACTGGGAGCCCCAGGGGTGCAGTCAGCTCTGGGCACAGGAGACACACCTGTGGCAGGAATGTGTGTGTGTCTGTCAGTGTTTCTGACCGAGTGTGTCCTGCTCGCCTCTGGAGGGCCCCCCTCCCCATGCCAGGGCCCAGCCCTGCATCCTGCATCCACTGAACCTGGAGTGGCACCTTGGACAGCTCCACCTTCAGCCTCAGGCCTTCCTGTCCTGCAGGCACCTCTCAGTGGGACGATGCCATGTGCTGTGCCCCTAGCGTGCATCCCACAGTCTGCTGTTTGTGGGGCAGAGAGAGCTATGGTCCAGAGCAGGAGGTTCAAACATCCTGCAGTGCACACTACTGTCCAGCCCCAAATGTCAGCAGAACTGAGACCTGGGAACCCTGGCCTAGGATGCAGGTCACCAGGAGGTGGCCAAGTCCTGGGGAGGCGAGGTCTGTCTGTCTGTCTGTTTTGGCCAGCCTGGGAAGGGATCTTGGTGCCCACATGTGACTGTCTCAGAACTGAATGGTGTGACATGACTGCCTCTTGGTCCAGGTGTGACTCTCCATCCAACTCCCTGTGTGGCTGTGTGTGGCCATGTGTGATCTGATCGGAGGTGACAGCATGACTTGGTGCACCTGATCCTCTGCCTGGGGTGGCCTTGGTGTCTGAGGGGATGTGACAGTGCAACTGTGTGCTCGTGCAGGGTGTGGTTTTGTGGAACTCTGACCCAGGGCCTTCCAGAGTGGGGCTGGGGCGCGTCCCCTCAGGCCGTGGTGTCAGCATGACAGGTCAGGTCAGCGTGTGTTGCTTCCCCTGGGTAGGCTGTAACCAGACGTGGACTTGGCAGCCCCGTTGGTGTGGGAGGAACCCTGCGGGAACCAGTGGCATGGGGGGGCTTGGTCTACAGGTGCTGCTTGACAGGGACTGTCCCCCTCGGCTGAGTGTGACAGTCTGACTGCTCCTGGGGCAGAGCTGCTTTTTCCAGCTGACCTGCTGGCATGTGTCTGGGGCTGTGGGTGTCAGTGTGACTCAGTGTTCCTCTGAGCAGAGCCATAGCTTTGTGTGTGACCGAGGGTCTGGGACCGTCTCCTGGCCTGCTGTGGCTCTGCGTCCTTGCCAGGCCCTGGCGACTGTGTGCGTGTGTCTGTCCTGTCGTGAGCAGGCTGTGCGTGGCAGCCCGCTCCATACCTCAGGGGGAGGACCAGGCCCTGGCCTGGTGAGCCAGGCTGAGGGGCTCTGCGGCCCAGGTCCACGCCCGGTGCTGGCCTGCCCACCGCAGTTGGCTGTGTCCTGGCCCCTTCCTGAGGGGCTGCTGATGGAGAGGGCCCCCGGGAGTCATCGGGGCAGCATGGGCAATTAATTCATTAGATTAATTAGCTCCTCTTCCCAGGCTGGGGGTAGGGCAGCCGCACAGGGCCCTCCCGCTCCAGGCGCCAAGGTCATCCAGCCGGCTCCCTCCCTCCCTGCCCAGGGCTGTCTCCACCGCCTCCGCGTGCCCAGCCCCCACTCCCTGGCCCCTGTCCAGCCGGCCAGCCATGGTCCAGAGAGGGATGAGTGGGTGGGGGGGGTTGATGGGGCCCATGGGCCGCACTGGAGTGTGCAGGTGGGCATGGGTGTGTACCCACAAGTGTGCTTGTGAGCACAGGCCGCAGGTGTGTCTGGCACACGTGTGTGTGCAAAGGTTTGTGTGTGTCCATGCACCATGCCTACAGATCTGGGTGTGATGTCTGTCTGTGTTGCGTGGGGCATGCTGGCTCTGTGTGCCTGTGGCGTGTTTCTGAATTCATGTGTGTCTGCGTACAAATGGGGGACTGTGTGCACGTGGATCTGTGCATGTGTATCTGTGCACACGCATTCCTTATATGTGTGTTTATACGTCCTGCACGTTCACAGCCTGTGAATATATGTGTGCATGCATGTGTGTGTGTATACGCATGCATCTACACAAGTGCCTGGGTGCTTGTACCTGTGTCTGTGATGTGGTGTATCTGTATGTCTAAATGTGTACACATGCCTCATCTGTGCACATGCATGTGTATCTGTGTAATTATGAATTTGCACATGGATGCCCCTGTGCACTGTGAATGTATTGTGTATGCTCATGTAACTGCACATAGATGTGTGTCTTCATACCCATGTCTGTGCGTGTGTGTTATGTGAACATCTCTGCATGCGTGTGTGTGCACACATGCATGTGTGTAACTGTGCCTGTGCTGTGTTGGCTGTTGCCTCTGTGTCTGGAGATGTGTGTTTGTGTGTCCCTGTGAGCCCACCTGTCCCCATCTGTCAGTCAGGCCCAGTGTGTGTGGGTGTGTCTGCCATGTCTGAGTCTCTGACAGCATCAGAGGATGCGTGTGGAAGACGTCTCTGTGTCCCCAGGGTGTGTGCTCACGTGCCCTCCTGCCTGCCCTCTCGTCCACAGGGCTGCTGTCCCAGAGCCTGGAGTTCAGCTCCCCTGCAGACAACTACACCGTGTGCGAAGGCGACAACGCCACCCTCAGGTACCTCCTGCCTGCGGAGTCAGGAGTCCAAGTCCTCTGTCCCTCCCCAGTCGGGGCAGCCTGGCAGGGGCAGGCTGGGGCCATGACATCCCCATCAGGCCGAAAGGAGTGTGGACTCTGAGCCCAGTTCTGCTCCAGAGCCTCTGTGTCCCTGTCCGTCCCAGGAGTTCTGCGACTGAGACACCACGTCCAGGATTGAGAGTGCCCACACCCCAGGCTTGGCATGACGTGGCCGCGTCGTAAATGACAGCAGGGTCACTGCCTCGCCGGCTCGCTCCTCACCTCACTCAGGGCCCTGTCTCCTCTCTCTGGGTCTCTGTCCCTCTCTGGGTCCTTGTCTCCCTCCCTCTAGGTCTCTGTTGCCCCTCTTTCTGGGTCTCTATTCTCTCCCCTGGGTCTCTCTCTCTCTCTAGGTCTCTGACTCCCCCTCTCTGACCCTCTGTTGCTCCTCTTTCTGGGTTTCTGCTCCTTCCCTGGGTCTCTGTCTCTCTAGGTCTCTGTACCCCTCCTGTGTCCTCATCATCCCTCTTCCCAGGGTGCCCATGCCTCTCTGGGTCTCTGGCACTTAACATCAGCCCACGGGCTCTCTGAGGCTCAGCTGCCACCTGCCTGGGTGCACAGCAGGGTCAGCCTCTTGGGCTGCGATGTAGAGAAACCCTTCCTCCCCCACCCCACAGCTGCTTCATTGATGAGCATGTGACCCGCGTGGCCTGGCTGAACCGCTCCAACATCCTGTACGCTGGCAATGACCGCTGGACCAGCGACCCGCGTGTGCGGCTGCTCATCAACACGCCTGAAGAGTTCTCCATCCTCATCACCCAGGTGGGGCTCGGGGACGAGGGCCTCTACACCTGCTCCTTCCAGACCCGCCACCAGCCGTACACTACTCAGGTCTACCTCATCGTCCACGGTGAGCCCTCGGCCACGGCCCGGGATAGGGTGAGGGGCGTGGGAGGAGGGGACTCGTGACAGGCTGCATTATGGTGAGAGTGGGGACACATTCAAGTAGAAGCCGGGCACAACCCTGCCCTCATGGATTTCAGCCAAGCAGAAGGGGGACGTCACACTCCTGGTGACACTTCATTGGACCGTTATAGAGCGGGAGAGCTGCAGGGTGAGGGGCGCTCAGAGGAAGACAGGCACTCTGCGGAGCCATCTCCTGCGTGCCCACCGCGTGGGGCTGTTGTAGACGGAGGATACCAATGAGGCAGGATTTCCCCGGGAGCGGCTCAGGGAGGGCTCCCAGGTACAAAGCCGGTACCAGAAAAGAAACAGTGCCTCGGGGATCTACAGGACCAGACCTGGGGCTGCGAGGGCCCACAGCAGGGGGGAGGCACAGAGGGCCTAGAGATGAAGCTCCGGAGGCTACTTCCCTCGCCAGCAGAGTGGCCCGGAAGACAGCAGCACACGAGGGAAAACAGCCCGAGACAGGGAGTCCTGACAGCTCAGGAGCCAGCCTGCCTGGTTCCAGACTCAGGGCCAGCACCCACCTGTGAGCAGAGGCCTCGGGCTCAGCCTCCTCCTCCTGGGATGGGGACGGTGCTGGCACTCATGCAGTGCAGGACGTCCTCAGTCAGAAGGCCCACCTGTATTTTATCCTTTATAAGAGAAGAAAAACCTTCTGCCAATTAAACTGTTTTCCTATATCACAAGCCAATCCTGATTAGAGAATGTCCAAAGGGAGGAGGGGAAGTAAGGCACAGTGTATTAGAACTGGGGAAATAGGGTAACGCCCACCCAGAAAACAGGGTGCGGGCCTAGTGGCTGGGTTTTTGTAAAGCAATTAGAACACAATCTACCACATAGGAAGTGTCATGTATATATTTGTTAAGTTAATTTTAAAATAATAATAAATAAAATAGCCAGGCATGGTGGCAGGGGGATGGCGCATTCCAGGACAGCCTTGGCAACTTAGAGACACCCTGTCTCAAAATAAAAAGGGCTGGAGATGTGGCTCCCAGGTAGGAAACCACCGGGCTCAATCCAACATACCCCCAAAAATCATAATGACAAATAAATAAAAGTGGAGCCAGTAGAGCCAGGAGGGAGGAATCAGACCAAAGATAAAGTTGGGATGAAAGCAGAAAAGACAGACAGACAGACAAAGCCAGTAATTAGACAGGGGGCCAGGCCCAGGCAGCGACCCCTGAGAAGAGGGCAAAGAGTCAAGTGAGGAAACAAAGGGAGGTTTAGAAGGTCTGGGCCTTGGGTCTGGGGAGGGGACGGGCCTGGACCCCTGGGTCTGGGGGAGGGGACGGGCCTGGACCCTGGGTCTGGGGGAGAGGACGGGCCTGGACCCTGGGTCTGGGGGAGGGGACGGGCCTGGACCCTGGGTCTGGGGGAGGGGACGGGCCTGGACCCTGGGTCTGGGGGAGGGGACGGGCCTGGACCCTGGGTCTGGGGGAGGGGATGGGCCTGGACCCTGGGTCTGGGGGAGGGGGCTGGGCCTGGACCCTGGACCCTGGGCCTAGGGAGGAGGCTGGGCCTGGACCCCTGGGTCTGAGGGAGGAGGCTGGGCCTGGACCCTGGGTCTGAGGGAGGAGGCTGGGCCTGGACCCTGGGTCTGAGGGAGGAGGCTGGGCCTGGACCCTGGGTCTGGGGGAGGGGACGGGCCTGGACCCTGGGTCTGGGGGAGAGGACGGGCCTGGACCCTGGGTCTGAGGGAGGGGACGGGCCTGGACCCTGGGTCTGGGGGAGGGGACGGGCCTGGACCCTGGGTCTGGGGGAGGGGATGGGCCTGGACCCTGGGTCTGGGGGAGGGGATGGGCCTGGACCCTGGGTCTGGGGGAGGGGATGGGCCTGGACCCTGGGTCTGGGGGAGGGGACGGGCCTGGACCCTGGGTCTGGGGGAGCGGATGGGCCTGGACCCTGGGTCTGGGGAGGAGGCCTGAGGCCTGGACCTTCTGGACTGAGGGAGGAGGGAAGAAGGCAGGCCTGGACTTCCAGGGGTGCACACAGGACTTACGCTGACCTCTCCCGCTGCCCACAGTCCCTGCCCGCATTGTGAACATCTCCTCCCCTGTGACGGTAAACGAGGGAGGCAACGTAAATCTGCTTTGCCTGGCTGTAGGGCGGCCAGAGCCCACGGTCACCTGGAGGCAGCTCCGAGGTGAGGCCCTACCCCTGACCCAAAGCCTCTTCCCCAATTCTGCAGTCTGGGCCCCTCCTTCCCCATATTCCTGGCTGGACTCCCAGATCCCCCTTCTCCAGCGACCCCACTAAGCCCTGGCTCTGGCTTCTCCCACCTGCTCACTGATTCTCCTAGACTCAGCTCCCCACCACCAGATGCCCTAAGCCAAGCTGCAGCCTGGACCCTGGCCATACACTCACCTCCTAGTCACACCCCACCTCTCTGCAGCTCATTGTCATAGCCCAGTGGTTTCAAAATGTGCTCCCCAGACCCCAGCATCAGCATCCTTTGGGAACTTGCCAGAAAGGTACACTCTCAGGCCTCTGCCCAGACCCAGGGGAGATCAGGAGCCCCCTCCACCTCACCCCAGTCTTTTTCAGCAAGCCCTGAGAACCACCACTCAGGGCTCCCTCCAAATATGACAGCACCAGGCCCAGACATCACCCTCCAGCCCTTTACCTGGCTCTCCACTGCCAGATTCAGATCTCTGGATCCTCACTCATTGGGTCTCTGGAGACCCATGGTGCCAATTGCTAGGTCCTAATCCCTGGATCCCCTGAGATCCCAGAACCCTATTACTAAGCCTCAGATCCCTGGATCCTGCCCCACTGTGTCTTATGAACCCCACAATCCTGATCTTGAGATCCTGGATCCCTGGGTTCCTTAAGTCCTAGGGGTCCTCTGTGTGCAGAACTGTCACGAGATTGCAGATATCTAGATAACTGATTCTGATAATCAGATATCAATTCCCTGGACCTGAAGAACTAGGTCTCAGAATTCTGGATTCTTCCCCATTGTGTTCCCTGGATCCTTCTGAGATCCAAGATCCTGGAATCTTCCACCCCACTGGATCCTCTGAAGACCAGGATCTGAATCATAAGATCCCAGATCCCTGGATCTTCTGAATCCTGAAATTCCAGGACCCTCCCCACTGGGTTCCAGTGCCTAAGTCCCTGTCCTCACTCTCCCTCCCCCTTAGGCCCCTCGCGGCTCCTACTGCCCCGGGCACTCCAGGCCTTGCTGTGCCCGCCCCGCTGATGTGTGTCCGTGTTGTGCCCGTGTTGTCCCGTGTTAAGTGTTTGTGTCCGGCCCCGCCCCCTCCTGCTCCCTCCCCCACAGACGGCTTCACTTCCGAGGGTGAGATCTTGGAGATTTCTGACATCCAGCGGGGCCAGGCCGGGGAATACGAGTGCGTGACTCACAACGGGGTTAACTCGGCGCCCGACAGCCGCCGCGTGCTGGTCACAGTCAACTGTGAGCGCCCACCCCCACCCCGGCACTGGGCAGGAAAGAGGGGTGGGCCTTAGGGCCCTGGGGAGGCGGGGTCTGTATGTTGGAGAAGGAAGCTGGGCGGGGCTCCTGGGTCCGAGGGAGGAGGCTGCTGGAGTGGCACCCTGTAGTCCCCTCGCTGCTAAAATTAGCCCATGCTACACCGTCGCCAGATCCCCCGACCATTACGGACGTGACCAGCGCACGCACCGCCCTGGGCCGGGCAGCCCTTCTGCGCTGCGAAGCCATGGCCGTGCCGCCTGCGGACTTCCAGTGGTACAAGGACGACAGACTGTGAGGACCGCCCCGGGGCCGGCCGGGAGAGGAGGAAAGGGGGAGGCCCTCGGTCCCTGGAATGGCAGGGCCAGGGCGCGGGGGTGGAGGGGCCAAGTTCTGTGTTCTGAGAAGCGAGGGTCCAGCTTCTAGGTGATAGAGTCTGCCGAGTCCAGGGAGACTGACCTGGGTCCCGTGATGAACGCCGGAGCCCGTCTCCCCGGACTCATCAGGGACAGGTCTAGGGTCGGGAGTCTGCTGAGGATCTGGCGTGCAAGGGGACCACTGGGACCGGGTTTGAGAGCCCTTAGGAATTGGGGGTTGTGGCGCACACAGGGAGAGTCCAGTGTCCCTCGGGGCTACCGTGCTTGGAGAAGGAATCCCTGAGGAGCTAGAGAGCTAGAGCCCAGATGCTAGTGGTCGCTGGAGGAGGCTGAGTCGGGGTACTGGGCGCTGCTCCCAGGAGGGTCTGGCCCAACGCCGATCCCGTCCCCGGCAGGCTGAGCAGTGGCGCGGCCGAGGGCCTGAAGGTGCAGACGGAGCGCACCCGCTCGATGCTTCTCTTCGCCAACGTGAGCGCCCGGCATTACGGCAACTACACGTGCCGCGCCGCCAACCGGCTCGGAGCGTCCAGCGCCTCCATGAGGCTCCTGCGTGCGTCTGCGCGTGGCGGCAGGGCAGGGGTGGCGGGTCGGGAAGGGGAGGCAGACACCCCGGGACCCACCCCCTGACTGGCCCCGAATTTAGGAAAGAGGAACCATGAGACTTGAGCAACGCGACTGGGCAAAGAAACCCATCCACTGGATCAACACTCATTGAGCACCCACTAAGGGCCAGGTGCTGGGGACACAGCAGTGCACAGAAGAGACAGGATTTGGGGATGCACAGAGCTCGTGGCCTAGTAGTAACAGGAAAGCATTTATGTGGGCACGTAGATAAATAAGCAAATACATGAACAAAATATTATTTTGAATATCAAGAAGAGCTGGCAAGAAACGAATAGATAGGATTAAGGTGGCAGGTGTTACCCAAGGTCATCAGTCAGGCTACCCTGAGGGGCATGATTACTCTGAGACCAGAATGATAAGAAGCCAGCCTGTGCAATTCTGCTGGAAGGGCTTCACAGGCAGGGGGACAGAATTTGCAAAGGTACTGTGAGAACAGCTTGGTGTAGCAGATAAATTGCATGGAACCTGGGAGAAAAAGGAAAGTAGCCCTTGCCCCATTAGTAAGGGGTTTGGGCTTATTGTACTGCAGGTAAGACCACTGGGGGCAGTTAAGCAGGGAGTGACATGTGTTGAGACTTCTAAAGACAATCACTTAGGGCTCTGAGATGGAGGCAGAGAGCTGGCGGGGAGGGCAGCTGTAGAGATCCAGAGCTGGGTGGATGGACAGCATGAAGCCTCTCTCCAGAGTCGCCTTGAGGTGGCGCCATGGGGCTAGGTGCCAGACTGATGTGCAACGCTAAGGTAAGGGAGGAGCTGAGTCAGAGTGCTCCTGAGGCTTGGGCTGGAGCTGAAATATTAATATGCTCAAGTATTGAAGAGGGAGGGAGGGCGGCCAGCCAAAGGCAGAAAAGTCCAAGAAACAATTTTGGGCTTGCGGAGGATGAGACAACTGGTGGAAATGCTGGACAGACAGATTCTAAGACAGAAGGACAGGGCTAAAACAGTGGAACAGAGTGGAGAAGATCTGAGAGTGTGCTAAGACTCACAAAGCAGAAAAGTCTCAGGAAGGCCCCCGAGAGGCGGCTTAAGACGAGGCACCCAGAGGGACACGCAGGAAGCCTCCCCGCTGCTGCCTCCGTCCCTGACCCTCCCTCTTCCCTCAGGCCCAGGATCCCTGGAGAACTCAGCCCCGAGGCCCCCGGGGCCGCTGGCCCTGCTCTCCGCCCTGGGCTGGCTGTGGTGGAGGATGTAGGTGCAGCCCAGGGCCTCCCCCTGCAGGGGGCCTCGGGCCAAGAGCAAGAGGAAAAGGGGGAGCCAGCGCCGTGGGTCTCGAGCGGGCAGAAGAGCTCTCAGCCACCGAGAAGGACGAGAGGAAGAGGAGGAGGAGGAGGATCTTTAGAGAACCCATCACTGTGAGGGATAACGCAAAATTATGCATCTTTCTACAGCCATTCTCGCCACCCGTTCACGTTTCCAGTTGTGACCCACCCCCGCCACCCCACACCCCTCTCTTAGCTCAGGCTGTCAACGGGCTCGTGTGTGGGTGGGTGTGTGAGTGTGAGCCCGCACGTATGTATAGGTGTGTGTGGGGGGAGGCTGGAGGAGGGGACCAGCAGTCCTCCCCCGCTGCCACCCCGTGTCCCCTGCCCCGCCCTGCTGCCTCTCTCCTCTGGCTGGAGGTAGGTATGTGGGTGCTTCTCTGTGAGGCTGTGAGAGAACGGCCAGGCTTTCCCACGTGTGCACGCTGCCCGCCCCTCCCCCTCGCTGTCACTAGGGCAGGTCTGGAGCTGGGCAGTTGCTCAGCCTTCAGGAAGAGGTGAGGGCTGCCTTGGCAGGTTCCTCCCTGCTGCGCCACCTGCTGCCTGTAGCCAGAGGCCCCATCACTGGCTCAGTGGCCTGAGACCTTCCACTTGCCCTGTCCCTCCCCACCCTGGACTTTCTGGCCCCCTCCTGGGCCATTCGGTGCTTCCATCCAACTGTCAGGCTGGTGACAGAAGTCGCCTGTCTGCCTCAGTGCTTTGCCCCACCCCCGCCACCACTCCCCTTGGCCACCTGCAGTACCAACCAGCTCCCCCCGGCCCTGCAGCTGGCCCATAGGTGTGGGCTTCCCGGCCTCCCACTCCCTGGCCTCCCACTCCCTGGCCTCCACCAAATGTACCTCCCAAAGGCTAACCTGACCGTCCTCACACACAGACACACACCCACACACCAGCGACTGTGACCAGCAATAGCCCCCTGGCTCCAGCTGTCCTGTAGCCGCTGACCAGCTGTTGATCCCTGGTGGGCCCCTGTTGTCAGGAAGGGATGCTGAGGCTGTGGCCTCAGCTCTGATTGTCAGATACTCCACCCTGGTACACCACAACACACAGAGTAGGGGGGAGGCGTCACAGACATCCTGAGCCCAGAAAAGATGCCATGTCACCAGCTCCAACTCCCTGGAGACCCTCTATAACCACCCACCCACCCACACCACACCACCCAGAGCTTGGTGGAGAAGAGGGCAGAGAGGGGCGGGGGAGCAAGGGGCAGTGACTGTACCTCAGACAGGGGCGTGGGCCCCATCCCACATTGTCTTCCATTCCCAGGGTCCAGGGATCGGGTAGGGAGGGGAGGGCTGCTGGGCGGGGAGGGCGGGGGGCCCTGGGGGCCGTGTGTTCCGATTCATGGGGAGTGTTGAGACCACCGCACCAATAAACGCCTTTTTCCAAAGTCTCTGCCTGCAGCTGTCAGTGTCATTAGGAGTTGGGAGTGGAGGGTATGGGGACATGGATCTCTGGAGGTGCCTCCCCAGCGTCATTCCCACCCCCCACTCTCTCTTTGGGGCCTTTAAATTGGCCCATTACAGCAGTGGCCCCTAATTGGCTTAAGCCACTCCCCAGAGCCCATCTCCCACCACAAGTGGCTCAGAGATGGGCACACGGCCCAGCCGGGCTACGGAGGGGGTAGATTCATGAGGAGTGGTGAGTCTGCTGGATAACAGGGCTCCAGGATGCACGGCGGGCATCTGCAGGGTCACTGGGTCGTAACCTGAAACCAACCGCCTCCATATTTCTTGCTGCCATTTATCTTGTTATCTGTAGCCAGGAGAATCCCCACTGGTGTACCCCAAATTCTCAGTGAGATAGCTGACATGCAGGAGAGAGCAGCAGCGAGCCCAGCCCTTCACTGGCACCAAAACATCTATCAGTCAACAAATAATTTATTGATCGCCTGCTGTGTGCCAGGCTTTGTGATAAGTGCTGAGATAATGTGTGGTTTCTGCCTCTGTGACGCTGTCATCGTAGAGCTGGAACCTAAGCTACGCATAATGATGTGTTTACATGTGAGGAGGGAAAAGTTCAGGGGCTCTGGGACCTAACCCATGACCAAAGAGAGGTGAGGGGAAAGATGGTCTGTGGTAACGGCTACCTGGGAGCTGATGATCGATATGGGGAAGACAAGTGGCCAGACAGAGTGAATCCAGGGACAAAGGCCTGGAGGGGGAGAAACGCTAGGGAGGGGCTGGGGTTGTGGCTCAGCGGTAGAGTGCTCGCCTAGCACCTGCAAGGCCCTGGGTTCGATCCTCAGCACCACATAAAAATAAATAAAGGTATTTAAAAGAAAAAGAAACGCTAGGGAGCAGGGTTAGTCCTGGGAAGAGGGTGATGAAGGCCAACAGGCCAAACCACAAGACCTTGGAGGTCCTTGAGGAGTTTAGATAAAATCTAAAGAGTCTAAAGAGAAGAATGAAGCCTGGGAGCTGGAGGGGGTGTGGCCCAGAGGAGGCAGACAGGAGACCACTTCAGGGAACCTGGACAGGCTCCCCTCCAGCTCAGAGGAACACGCTGGCCCTGCCTGTCCGCCCCAGAGCCGGGGGTTGTGAGAACTGCACTTTTCCAGATGTGCAGGACCTCCTGGGCTGGGTCTACAAACACAGGGTAAGTCTTCTCTGTGACGAGACAGGGAGTCCCACTTTCAGGGCCCAGCCCTCAGTCATAGCTGGCCCTACTTGCTGCTGGATCCTTGCCCCAAAATACCCCGTGAAGAGTGGGGCACTGGCTCTGATCACACCTGCGTGGCTGTCCGAACAGTTCTTGGTCCCCCACCTGGAAAGATGACTGGACTGGGGCTGGTGGCCTGGAAGAGAAGCAAAGTAGGGGTGATCTCAGGAGGCACCCTGGATGTGACATGACTCACCCACATCATTTCCCCAGCCTAGCCCAAACTTTTCAAAAACTAGCTGTCCCTCCCCCTGCCCCCCATATTTGACCACCATTGGAGGGGCTAAGACATGCAGCAGCAACCCAACTTTAATGGGAAACACGGAAATTCCACTGCCTCAGGGAGAAAAATGGAAGGTTTGACCAATTTTTATGAAAATCAAAGGAGGCCTCACCTCATTCTCCTTTGGAGAAGATACTAGGATGCACACTTCTGTTAGGATACCTAAAAGCTGTGCAGGAAATCCTGTCCAGATTTTTTTTTTTTTCTTATTAAGAAATAAGGTTTTACCAACTTTGTAAGCCGACAAACAAAGTTGGAGACTGGAATTAAGACACGCTCATCTCCCTGAGTATGAAACAAGCTCCGTCCCCATTCTGGGAGGAAATGGGGACAGGTGCACTCACTTGGTAGGCCTTGGCTTTGTTAGAGTCCTTCAGAGGGACTTGGAGGGGCAGTGGCTGTGGGGTCTGTACTGGGCTCACAGTCTGCATCTTCTCCTCTGGAGAGATGACCACAGGAGCCAAGGCTGCAGGATGCTTCTTTTTCTTTGGCGCCTTCGCTGAGAGAGGAGGCAGAGGAATAGGAACATGTGATTGGCTGCCCCAACATGCAGACCCAGCCAATAGCAAGAGAAGCTGGGGTGAGAGGCGGGACCTTACTTTGATTGATCTGGAGGTAGGAAGGTGGGACATGCTAGGACTGCGCTGATTGGTTCACTTAGGTCTCCCTTTTTCTAGCCCCTCCCAGTCGGCCTCCTCTGCAGGTTCCCCACTCACCCCGGTAGCACCGCAGGCAGTAGATGCAGAGGAGAAGGAGCGCGACGAGCAGTGCCAGACCTAATAGGGAGCCCAGGACAATGCCAGCAATGGCACCGGGGCCCAAGGTGGGGCCTGGAAGAGACAAACAGAAGGGAGAGAAGTTTCCAAACCCCTAACTCATCCTTCCTGTGAGCATCCCGTGCACTGTCCCTCTCAGAACACAGAACTTGGGGCTGAGCGCTCTCAATTCATTTAACGTTTTCTGAATTACGGACTACCCAGGGCCTGGCAATTCGGCCTCGTGGTGAGGATCCACTGGTGGGCAAGACAGCCCAGATGCCTACTCCATGGGGATTCATCCTAGGAGGGCAGCAGAATAAGGAGCAACAACTAGCATAACGACAGACTGGACTAAGAAGGGAAAAAACCCCTGTGATAGACACAATGGGAGGGGAGATGATGTTTAGCAAGGGTGATGGATTAAGGTCTCTAAGAAAGTAACAGCTGAGCAGAGATCTGAACAATAAGAAGTTAGTCAGGCTAAACCTGGGAAAGGGTGTTTCAAGAGGAGAGAACAGAAAATGAGAAGGCTCAGAGGTTGGGAAGAGCCTTCTGGGTTCAGTACAGGGTAATGTGGGTGGAAGGAGAGAAGGCGAGAGAGAGGGAGAGGGAGAGGGAGAGAAGGAGAGGGAGAGAGAGGGAAAGAGGGAGAGAGCGAGCCAGAAAGAGGGAACATGGCTCTGAAGACACCCCTATCTTGGACTTCTGGCCCTGGGAACCATGAGAGAATCAACGTCTGCCATTATAAGTCGGCCAGGTCATGGTACATTGTTATGGTGCCCTAGCAGGTTACCAGAGGGGGAAGACAAGCCACTGCAACAGATTGAGAATGGCTGGCCAGAGTTCTAAGAGGAAGTCCAGGAGAAGATGTCCACGGCCCAACTCACCTGCCTGGTAGACCCGGCTTTGGGATGGAGGCCCTGGCTGGGACCCCAGTCTGGGCAGGATGCGCAAGGTCCAGGCCCTGGGAGTCCGAGGAGGGAGGGGCAGCACAGCTGAGCGCTCCTGAGGCCCCAGGATAAGCAGGGAGATCCAGTCCTCATAGGCTGTGGCTCTGCCCAGTTCAGGTCCCTCTGTCCGTGCCTGGATCACAAAGCTGCTGATCAGGGCCCCACGCTCCACATCCCAAGTCAGCACTGCCGCATCCCGGGCTCTCTGCAGCCTCCATGAGGCGATGGAGGGGCCTGGGGATGAGGGGAGGGGGTGGCTGGATTCTTGGGAGCTAGAGAGGAGAGGGAAAGGGAACTGGACTCCTAAATCCCCTACATGGAGAGCTACATTCCTGTATCTGGAAAGAGGAAGGAGCTAGGGGCCCAGGCTTCTGCTTCTGAGGGAGGAGGCTGGGGCTGGACCCTGGGTCTGAGAGAGGAGGCTGGGCCTGGACCCTGGGTCTGAGGGAGGAGGCTGGGCCTGGACCCTGGGTCTGAGGGAGGAGGCTGGGCCTGGACCCCTGGGTCTGAGGGAGGAGGCTGGGCCTGGACCCTGGGTCTGAGGGAGGAGGCTGGGCCTGGACCCTGGGTCTGAGGGAGGAGGCTGGGCCTGGACCCTGGATCTGGGGGAGGAGGCTAGGCCTGGACCCCTGGGTCTGGGGGAGGAGGCTAGGCCTGGACCTCTGAGTATGAGGGAGGAGGCTGGGGCTGGACCTCTGAGTATGAGGGAGGAGGCTGGGGCTGGACCTCAGGGATGAGAGAGGGGGCCTGGACATACTCCCGGGTCTGGGAGAGGAGGAGGTGGGAGACTTAAATTGACAGGTTCTTGGAATGGGCGGGGCTCACCAATAAGGGTAATCTGATCGACCCCAGCACCCAGCGCCCCACTGCAGAACACGGAGTAATTTCCCAGGTCCACATTCAGGCTGAAGTTGCTGATGAGAAGCGTCTGCCCATCTTGGCTGATTCGCAGGCGACCCCCGCCTCCTGGAGCCAGGGGCCTTCCTTCCCGGGCCCAGGATGCTCGAGAGGGTGGGAGACAGCCAGAAGCCTCCAGAGCCACCTCTGCCTGCCCTGACCTTGTCTCTTGCACCAGCTGATGTAGCAGCACCTCCCTGGGGGCCTCTGTAGGTGACAGAAGCCCAGTTAAAAGTCAAGACCTGCCTAGTGTGGTGAGGCCCGCCTGTAATCCCAGCAACTCAGGAGGCTGAGGCAAGAGGATCACAAGTTCCAGACCAGCCTGGGCAACTTAGAGAGACCCTGTCTCAAAACAAAAAATAAAAAGGGCTGGGGATGTAGCTCAGTGGTATAACCATTCAGGGTTCAATCCCTAGAACTGGGAGGGAAAAAAAGGCAAGACCGTATTCTCCACTGGAATAATAAGTCCCGTGTCCTTCCATAAATCAAATAGTGGTGAACCCAGCACTGTGGGGGAACTGCCCATTCACTCTCTCATTCATTCATTATCTGATATCCCCAGCAAACACTTAACTGAACATATGTTATACATGGACAAGGGCTGGGAAGCCCATTATGCTCAGCTAGTCATTACTTTGAAAAAATAAAAATAAAAAGATTAATGTATCTTTCTAAATATAGGGACTGCCCTGTTCCTGAGACCAGGGGGAAAACCCTGTCCCTGCCCCCTCCCCACCTTGGAGTACAGAAAAAAAACCTTGTTGCCTCTTTAGGTTCAAAGAAAGTGAAGTTCTGCCCTTTCCTGGAGTAGAGGGAGATTCTCCCCACCCCACAAGTCCCAAAGGACCAAAGGAAAGTTCCCTTCTCTCGAAACAGCAAAGCCCTGCCTCTCTCACCCGGGGTGACAGTGCAGGTGCGCGTGGCCACCAGGTGGCGAGCAAGGCAGACGACGGGGACTCCACTGAGCTGCGGGTGGGCGGGAACCACCGCCAGGAGCTCGGAGGGCTCCGGACCCGCGCGCACGCCGCGGGGGAGACCTTGGAACTGCAGGGAGGCTGCAGGTACCCCGCCTGGCCACGAGCAGCGGAAGTGGAGGCTGCGGTCCCCAGGACCCCCTTCTACCGAGCACTTTGGGGGCCCGAGGGGCAGATCTGCAGAGGAGTAGAGATAAAGGACGGAGTCGGTCTCCCCACCTTCTCCAGGGCTGCCTCTCCAAGCTCGGACCCCACCACTTCTTCACCTAGCCCCGCCTCAGAGGTGCAAATCCTGTCCCTTTCTCTGGCTGACTCAGCTCCCTGTTCCCAGTAATCCCCGCTAAGCGCGCAACTCCTGAACGCCCCCCTTTCCTAAAACTGCAACTTCACACACTGATTCTTTCCCCACGTAACCCAGCCCTTTCCTTTCTAGCTCCACTCTCTCCCAGGTCACCCCGCCCCCTCCTGGGTTACTCCACGAGACGCCTCCCCTTTTCCTAGGTAGCTCCGCCCTCCCGGGTGGACCTAGCCTCCTTGTCTTGTGACTCCACCCCCTTGGCCAGGTAACTCTCCCTTGGCTGATACCACTTGCTGGCCCAAGCAACTGGGTCCCTTCCCTTCCCTTTCTAATCCCACTCTGCGCCGTCCGCCGTCTCCTCCTTCTGGTTCCGCCCTTTCTCCTAGGCGTTCCCGCCCCTTCTACCAGCAATCGCCGCCCCCCGCCCCGCCGCGGGCCCCACCCAACACCACCACAGCTGTCCCAGCTCCTCCTGGCTGGCCCCGCCCCTCCCCAGCTGGCCCCGCCCCAGCTGTGGCGCCCCAGCCGCTTTCACCTGCCACCGTAAGGTTGAGCAGCGAGCGGCGCCGGCTGCCAGTGCGCGGGTTCGCTGCGAGGCAGGCGTAGGCGCCCGCGTGGCCTGGCCCGACGGCTGGCAGCAGGAGGCGCGGCCCCGCGGGCACTGCGGCCTCGGCCGGGTCCGCCAGGCTCCACGTAATGTCAGCCGGCGGCCGCGAGGCGGCGGTGCAGCGCAAGGTCACGTTGCTGCCCGCAGTGACATACAGGTCCGGGGCGGCGTCTCGACTGGAAGTCGCTGTGATGACCGGCGGATCCGGACCGTCTGGGGGAAGAGGGAGTCGGGATTGGGCTCAACCGGGGCGTCTCCAGAAATCCCGAGACCAGGCCACTAGTCCTGTTCTCTCCTGGGATTCCAGAGTGACTCCTAGCCGGCTCAAGGCAGCCCCCACTCACAGAAGACGCTGACGTTGGCCGCAGCCTCGGTGTGGCCAAAGGGGCTGCGGACGCGGCAGGTGTACCGCCCATGGTCGCTGCGCACAGGGCGAGCGATGAGCAGCTGGTCGCCCTCTGCGCGGATCCGGGACGACTCTGCTCCCTCAGAATCCGCTGCATTCAGAGCACGGCCGTCTCTGGTCCAGCTCAGCTGCCCACAGCCTGGTTTCCAGCCCACACAGCGCAGCCGGAGCTCCGCCGCCCCCTCCTCCGTCTCTGGGGTCTCTGGCTGCACAGACAGCTGGGGTATGGGCTCTGGAGAGGGGCAATGCCCTTAGGATCCGTTCAAGGAGCCAGGCCCCAGTACTCACTCTCTTATTCCCAGGACTTCGCCCCCAGCCACCGCCTCCTTTTAGCCGCAGGAGTCTGGTTATCCGTCCCTTCCCTTTCCTCTCCTTGACCCATGATGTCTCCTCCCTCCAACCCAGGAGTCCAGTCCCAGCGGCTCCTCACTCAGACCCAGGGGTTCGGTCCCCAGTCCTTGCTCCGTCAGACCCAGAGTACAGGCCCCAGCCCTCCTCCCTCAGACACAGGAGTTCAGGTGCTCCCTGCCCCAGTCTTGATCTAGGTCCAAGCTTCCTCAGCACCCCTGTCTCGGTCCCTTGTCCCTTTGGGGAGGAAGCATCCTTACAACAGAAATGGCTTGCCCAAATGTCTCAGCAGCCTGCACTTGTGACTCCAGGGCCCACTTACCATACACATTGACTGTGAACTCCTGAATCTGCCGAGAGACCCCACCCCGGATGACTTCAGCTGTGTAGACCCCGGCATCATCCAGCTGGGCAGAGGCAAGTTCCAGCCCCCCTCGGGCCTGGTCGAATCTCAGGCGGTCTCTGTGTGCAGGGTCCAGGCTGATCAGAGGAGCCCCTGGCCCCAAGCCCCCAGCTGCTAGCACCTTGGAGCTTCTTCGCCAAACTACCAGAGGGGCAGGAGGAACAGGGCTGGGGGCTGGAGCCAGGGAGAGTCGGATGGTAGTCCCCACCAGCACAGCAAGAGGCCCCCCAACCTGCTGGGGGAAGCTTGAAGCTGAGTGGGTCTCCAGAGGAACTTTGGATTGGGGTCTCTGGGCAGAGAATTCAAGGTCCCGATTCTCAGGGGGGAGTTTTGAATCTGGGGCCTCAACAGTCACTTTGGAGTCAGGAAATTGAGCAGAAATGTTTGAAGTTGTGGTCTTAACAGAGAAGGAAGGCACAGGACTTTTGGCAGGAAACACTTCTGAACCAGGAATCTTAGAGAAGGTGGGATGGGGGCTCAAATGTTGACCCTCGGCAGAAATATTTGACCAGAGGGACTCAGACACATCATTTGAATTTCGGGCCTTGGGAAGCCAGTTGGAATCAGGAACTTCAGCAGAGGCTTGTGAATCCAGAGAGAGTTTTGGAAAGTTCTGGCTGGGGGGTTTGATGGAGGGAACTTTCGAGCCCAGGCCGAGGGAGGAGCTGGCTGAGTCCAAGAAGGAGGCGGAGGTAAAGTTGGTTTGCTGAAGTCCAGAAGTGGCTCCCAGGGCAAGCATCCTTAACGGAGGGGCTGCAGAGGAGAGGTAGGAGGGGTGGGCTTTGGGGGAGGCTGCTAGGAAGGGGGCTGGTGGGGAAGGGGTCAAGAAAGGAACTTACCCAGGAGTAGGAAGAGCAGCAGAGCCTGCAGGATGTCCATGGTGCTGGCCGCACCCCTGAGAGGACACTGGAGAGAGATCCAGGGCCTGCATCTGTCCCTCCTGGGTTGGACAAGTCCAACAGGACTGGTAGCTTAGCTTCCTGGGCGGGGAAGGGAGCCAGACCCAGCAGGAGGTGCCAGGGTCCCCCTGGCTGAACTGGTGGCTAAGCCGCCCACCCCACCCTACTTGTTGTCCTCATAGGCTGGCCCTGCCTGTGGGGAAACCCAGCCCTATCCCTGCCTGTTCTACCCACAAGGGGAGAGGGGGAGAACAGAGTCCCAGCTGAAAAGGAGGTAGCAGACATGTCGGGCAAATCCGGGAAGGCTTCCCAGAGGAAGGCAACGCGGCCTCACATCCGATGGCCTCCCCTCAGCTCAGACTTCCTCCTCCCCAGCCTTCTGGCCTCTGCTCCCTCTGTCCTGCCTGTAGCCTCTGATATCCACATCTGACCCTGCTCCCCGCTGCTCCAGATCATCCCAGGGTTCCCTGTTGCTCTCAAGTCCCTAGTCCTACCTACCTCTCCTGAGACCCATGGAGCCGGATTTCTGTGTCTTCCAGGCCCTCACGAGCCCTGCATCCCCATGTACTCAGCATCCTCCCCTGGTTTTCCACTTCCGGGATGGTTCCATCTGAATCTCAGGGCCCAGGCCCCAGCACAGGAAGGCCTATCTTTTCCAACTGTCCCCTTCCCCACCCCCCAGGCTCCAGTCCCCTCCAGTCCACCTGAGGGTCTTGCCACACCCAGAACTGCTGCTGCTCTCCCCTGCTTACAACCCTGCCTGGCTCCCCAGTACCCTCTGGAGAAGCCCAAGCTCCTCAGCGGACCCAGCCACTCCCACCGATCCAGCACCCACTCTGAACCTGCCGCCATTCCTATGCCATCCTCACTCCCCAGTCTTTGCCTGTGCTACTTCCTCTACCTGGCATGCTATCACTCACTATCCCCACCCTTCAATCTGGCTAAACTGCAACTTGTCCTTCAGGTCTTACCTTATTAAGAACCATAATGATAATTACCATTTACATTGTGCCAGGAATCTATCACGCTGAATCCTTCTAAATGCCCTCTGAGCTGGGTGGGAGTCTTTATCCTCACTTTACAGAGAAGGAAACTATGGCTCAGAGAGGACAAGGGAACTGCAGGAGGTTTCACAGCCAGAAAAGGAAGTTGGGCTTGGGCCCAGGATGGTCAGAAGGCTCATTCCTGCTACCCCATACTGGGCTTAGTGCCTCAGTTCAGCTCCCAGTCCTCCCAGACCTGGCATAATCTTTACCATGCTGATAATAATCATGGCAATAATACACGTTGAGCATTTTCTGTGTGCCAGGTGTGGTTCTGGAAATGCTACATAAGTTACCTTTTTAAAACCCCTGAGGTAGGCTTTGTAGCTTAAGGATGGTGCAAATTTGACCCTCCTGCCACTAAGAGTGAGGTCTATGTTCCTTCCCCTTGGGTCTCAGCAGGCTCTGTCATTGCTAGATCAGAAGATTTGGAGAGTCTGGTGTGGTGGCCCACACCTGTAATCCCAGTGATTCAGGAGCCTGAGGCAAGAGGATTTTAGGTTCAAGGCCAGCTTTGGCAACTTAGTGAAACTGTCTCAAAAAATAAAAAGGGCTGGGGATGTAGCTCAATGGTGGAGCCCCTGGGTTTAATACCCAGTACCAAGGGAAAAGAAAGAAAAGAGGTCCAGAGAAAGTGAACTGGGGCCACTTCCTGCTTCTAGAGGCTGGCTAGCTCCACTTCCTGTTCCGCAGAATACTCCCTCTTGGAACCCAGCAGCCATGCTATAAGGCCTCTCAAGCAGCCCCAAGGAGAGGGGTCAGGGCCCCTGGTCACAGCCTTGGCTGAAGCCCCCAGGCAGCGGTCAGCTTGGGTCAGGAGTCCCAGCCAGCCTGCTGGCCCTGGAGTGAGACATCTTGGAATGATGCTCTGGCCCCGTTCACACCACCCTGGCTGATGCTACATGGAGACAAGAGCTGCTGAGCCTGACTGAGTTTCAGATCTGTAAGCAAGATGATCCGTCTGTTGTCTTAAGCCACCAAGTGTTGGGGTAGTTTGCTATGTGGCAAAAAAAAAAAAAAAAAAAAAGACAAGATATTATTAATTCCATCTAATGAAAGAAGAAACCCAGGCCCAAGGAGTGGTGCCTGCCTCAGGTCCTCCTGGAGCCAGACCCTGGTCAGAGCCGGGGTTTGAACCCTGGTCTCAGGATCCAGAACCCAAGTCCTCCATTGCTGTTACCTTGTATTTTGGCCTGCCAGACAAGGAAAGTGAGGCTCAGACAGGAAGCAACTCACCCAACGCTTCTCAGCAGGTAAAGGTGAGAGGGAGGATTTGAAAGCAATAAATCCAACTGTAGGTCCTGGGCTCTTCGTGTCACTGACCAGAACCAGAGCCTCCAATCTCAATCCTTCTTGTGTCCCAAGTCTCAATAGGGATCTGGTACCAGGAGGCCCAGCAAACACTCTGAGCTCAGAGTCCTTCTCACTGACCTCACTGATAGTCCTTCAACACTCAGCTTGAATGAGGCTCCCTGGGGAGCGTCTCTGACCCCACAGGCCAGGCCAAGTGCCCCAGCTAGGTTCCAAGCCCTGTGTGTCTCCACATCTAGCACCCATCACCCTGTATTACAGCTGCCTTTGCCAGCGTCTGTCCCCTTCAGTACCGAGGCATCTCAAGGGCAGGACTATATGTTACTCACCTGGCTTCCAGAATCGCTCTGCACAGGGCCAGGGACACAGGAGATTTAAGTAAATATTTGTTGAATGAATTAAAGAGCAGACCTCCAGAGAATGAGGTAACAACAGAGACAGGCATTAAGAGGGTCATAGTTTTATTGCTGAGTTTCAGGGAGGGATCAAATCCGCCCCACCTCCCTCAGCTTGGCCACCAAGTCCTCGGTGGTCTCCACCTTGACACCGGCTGTACGCTGAGGTGGGTCCTCCACGCTGACCACAGAGATCTTGGAAGTCAGGTCCACGCCCAAGTCCCCGGCCTTGATCACTTCGATCTTCTTCTTCTTGGCTTTCTGCACATGGGGAGTTTCAGCTCAGGGGCTGCCGCAGCCCCTGCCCAGCCTCCCACAGCCTCCTCCCCAGGGCGGCCACATCTGCAGAGCCATTCCTATTGGCTGAACCTCTGCCCTTCCTGCTGGCCGGCACACACACACCCTCTCCTGGGCTACACCTGGGTGACCGTTCCTGGGAGCCACCCTGGGGAGCCCTGCACCAGCTGCAAGGTACCCACAGACCCATCCTTTTGGCAATAATGGTTCAATCCTTTGGGCTGGGATGACCCACAGAACCCTTCCTGTTGGCTGGGATGATGCCTGGATGTTCTCTGTTGGCTGGGATGACACAGGGAACTCGTCCTGGAGATGATTAGTGAATTCTTCCTGTTGGCTGAGAGACTGCACGAGCCCTTCCTTGGTAGCCAAGATGGCCTATGTGATACCTTCCTGATGGCAAGGATTACCGAGGGAACCTTCCCTAATGAACCGAGATGACTGCATGGATCCTCTTTGTTTGGCCAAGATTGCCCAGTGAACATTTTCCACTGGCTGGAATGATGAGGAGGACCTTTTCTGTTGCCCACTGAATCTTTCTATTGGGGAGAATTAGCCAGAACAGCCCAGTAGTCACCTCATCACTAGCAGAGATGACCAGAAAACCCACTATCTGCCAGATGACCAGGTGATCCCTTCCTCTGGGTGGGATATCCCTGGGGCCCTTCCCTCCTCAATCCATCCATGACAGAGGCACTGGGCCTGCAGTGTGCTGGCCCATTCCTAGGCCCTCAGCGACCCGCGAGTTGAGTGCTCACCATGATGTTGGGCAACGTGGCGTAGCGGGGCTCGTTGAGCCGTAGGTCAGCAGTCACCACAGCTGGCAGCTTCAGGCGTAGGGTCTCCAGGCCCCCGTCAATCTCCCTCTCCACTTTCAACTTGTCCCCCTCCAGCGTCACTTGGGAGGCAAATGTGCCCTGGGGAGGGAGAGTGTGGACAGCAGGCAAGGTTAGTCCAAGCTGGGTAGAGAGCGGTCCTCAGCAGGGTACGTCATGCCATGCTGAGCAGAGTCAGGGAAGAGGGTGGCAAAAGACGGAGTCCTGCACAGCACAATTGGGGAGGGAGCCACAGAAAGGGACCTCAAAAGTCCAGGAGGGGTCCCACTTCCCCTGGCCCTGCTGGATAGGCCCCACAGTAATGACAGTGAGCGTGTGTGAGTGCTGGGCCCTGCTCCAGCCAGTTCACGTGTATTAAACCATCGCGTCTCAGAGAGTCCGGGAGGCACATGCCACAGCTCAACAACAGGTGCCCGTCACCCACAGAGTAACTCCTGAAGCTGGCAACCAGCTCCCCAGGGGCTCTGTGAGGTTTCTCCACCGGCCCAAAGCAGAACAAGGTGAGCTCACCTTGGTCCTTAAACGGCCCTCTGGGACCCCATCCTGTGGCCGAGGCCGCTTGGGCCTGAATCCACATCTCCTCCCCTGCTGGCCGACACCCCACACGCCTCTGCTTAGCTGACCTGCTCCCTCCTTTCACTCGTTCACTGGATTCATCTTTCAGGTGACAGTTTGGGCGTCACAGAAGCAGCCTCACCCAGTGCCCCTGTGAGCCAGGCTCTGGGGACACACCGTGAACACGACCAATCGCCCCAGCCTTGGGGGACATGTACGGCAGTGGGGAGGATGGCCAGCACCAGGGAGGAAGGCGACTTCAGGGGCTGCCCATGTGAGGATAAATGCTTCGGAGAAAATTAAACAGGAGAATGGTCAAGAACTGTGCTGTTCCCTCTCGTCACTGCTGGCCACCAGGGGCTACTAAACCTAAGAAATGTGGCTGGTGCAGCTGAAGAATGGAACTTCAGATTTTAATTTTAATTAATTAATTAAAATTTAAAAACAGATATTTGATACATTATCATGAGTGTGGAGATGTGTGCGTCCTTGTGTCAAAACCTGTCCACTGCACGCTTTAGATGTGTGCAGGTCACTGTGGGCGGAGCTGTATAAGCCCTGAGCCTCACAGAGTCACTGGGAAACTTCAGTCTGTTGGCACCACGTGGGCACGTGAACTGCTTTAGAAGTCCAAATTAAGTATTTCTGATGAAACTCAACATCTGGACTGAAATGTGGTGCAAACATAAGATACATCCTGCATTTCGAAGACTTGGTACAGAAAATAATAAAAAATGTAAAACATCTCAGTATTCTCATATTGGTCACGTGCTGAAATGACAGCATTTTATATATGATGGGATTACATTAAGCATTAGAAAAAGTAACGTGTCTGTTTCTTTTCTTTTGATGCTGGAGATTGAACCAGAGGTGCTTTACCACTGAGCCACATCCCACATCCTCAGTCCTTTTCGTTTTTATTGTGAGACAGGCTCTGGCTCAGTTGCCCGGGATGGGCGGGAACTTGGTCCTCCTGCCTCAGCTCCTGAGCTGTGGGGTTCTGGCCGCGCACCACTGTGCCTGGCTTGTGGCTTCTTTTCACATTTTCAATGTGGCTGTGGGAGACTTAGAGTTACTTGGCGTGATTCTAAATTGACTTGCACTGCCATAGATGGGGACCAGAGAGGCAGGGCTGAGGGGACCTGAGGATTTCGTGCAGGGTGGACAAGCGGGGATCCAGAGGCAGAGAGGAAGGAAGCCATGCAGCCATCTGAGCAGACGGGTCCCAGGAGGAGGGAAGGGCAAGGGAAACGCCCCGGGATGAGGCCCCCAGCTGTGCTCCCCAACCCAGCCCCACCTGCGGCCAGTCCAGAAGTCCAGCTGTTATCTGCCCTGTCTGGTTACAGTCATCATCGATGGCCTAGTGGGGGGAGAGAGACGACGACGATCAGTGGAGCTTCTCATGTCCATTCAGGCCTCTGCTAGAACAGGAGTCAGCAGACTTTTTCTATATTTCTAAACATTTTAGGTTCCGTGAGTCTTACAGTCTCTGTCAGGACCTCTCAGCTCTGCCCTTGCACTGCACAAGGAGTGACAGGTAACATATAAATGAACGTGTGCGGGTGTTCTAACAAAACCATATTCGCAAAATAAATAGGTTATGTCGTGGGCCATAGTGTGCTGACTCCTGTTCTAGAACAGTCCCCTCACATGGGCGCAGAGCAAACAGTCGCTTGTCCAGGAACACGGGTGTGCCCCAGCATTCCCAGAGCGAAATCTTTGCCCTCTGTACAAATACTCGCAGAAGCCTCTGTGAGCCAGGCCCTGAGCCAGCCACCATGGGAAGTTGGATGAACAAGATCTGGGCCAATGAGAACCATCTATTCCCGGACCCCTGTGACTGGTTCAGGCACGGGCTTGTGACTCAAGCTGGGATGTGGCCAGCCCAGGGAGCTCTGTGGAGCGCTTGGGAAAGAGGCTCTCTGCCTTCTGCTGGGTCACTTAGTCAGTGGGATGTGAGCTGGAGATGCAGACAGAGCAGAGGCAGAGGAGCAGGGCCGGGTGCTAACACATAACCCCGGATCAGGCTGCACCACGTGACTTACACGAGCTAAGGAACTGGCTATCTGGCTAAGGCCAGTGTGAGCTGTGATTTGGCTGCCCAGATTGAAAGCACCCTGACCAGTTCATCTGGCATCTCCCCAGCGGGAGGCCCCAGCCCCAGGAACTGAGTCAGAGCCACAGGAGACGCACAGGCTTCAACACAGCAGGTTGCCAACACGTGCCAGGGAGCGGATGTGAGACCTGGGCAGAGCCACACGGGCCTGTTTCCTGGCCTTTTTTCGGGTGGCCTCTGCCCCGGCCCACTCATTTGCTCCTGGGCCCCTCTCTTTGGGGTCAGCTGTCTGTTCTCTACTGATTTCCGCAGGGCCGGGAGGACCCAGGGACGGTCTGCATCTGCCTGGCTCCGCTTCTTCCCTGGAACCCCACCCCTCTGAGCCTCCTGTGCCCTGCCACCTCCGCTGCTGCTTCACCCCAGCCTCTGACCTTCCTTCTCAGCAGCCTCGCCTCATTCCCTCTCCCCTCACTCCCCAGCCTGACATCCACCTCCGCTCCCCCCCTGCGGAAGGCCACCAGGTTGGTCTCCAAGGGGATAAACGAGGATGATACCCCAAGGAAGGCAGTGTCCCTGGGGCCCTGAGGGAACACCTGCCTCAGCTGAGTGCCAGGCCTCCAGTGTCCCCTCCAACCGCAGCCCATCCTCTGGTCTTTCTGCACTGAGCTGGTCCCACTCCCTCCTGCTCACAGGCCCCTGTGGCTCCCCAGTGCCTACTAAAGGCCCAAGTCTCTGTTTCAAGCCCAGACCTGTCTCCTGAGACTGCCTCCTTGTGTCCCCCAGATGTCCCTGGCTGTCACACTCCCTGAGTAGTGGTCACAGGATCTTCCAGGGTTCCTCACCTGTGTTACCAGGCCAGACCAGGCACTGTCCCTCCCCCACTCCCCGGGCCTTGGCCCCACCTCCCCCTTGACCTCCTTCTAACTCCTGCACCAAATCCTCAGTGTCTGGAGCTTCAGCCTCACTTCAGAGGGCTCCAAGGGATCTTTATGACACCCAGAGTGACCTGCCCTCCCCTGCTCAACCTCTGTCAGGGAGATGGCCAAGGCCGAGCTGCTCAACCTGGAATGTCTGAACTCCCGGACCACCAGCAGTGTCACCTTACACCCCACCTGAGTGGATCAGGTGGAGTGGGAGGAGCTGGAGACCTACCTGCTTGCCCAGCAGCACCAGGTTCACCTTCTCCTTCTCGGCCAGCTTGGCCAGGACCCGAGCCACCTGCAGGGGACCCAGGCGCTCCGCCTCCACAGCTGGCACCTCCACATGGATGCCTCGGTCTGCTCCCATGGCCAGGGCAGTGCGGATGGTCTCCTGCCAGGGAAGGAGGGGCTCGTGTGGTTTCTGTCATGAGATGGACCGAGAAACCTGGACCCAAGACCCTCCTCCCTCAGACCCAGGGGTCCAGACCACCCCCAGCGACCTTGCACACCTGGCACTGTGTGGGGCCACAGCTGACAGCAATGACCTCCTTCACCAGCTTCTTCTCCTTGAGCCTTACGGCCTCTTCCACAGCAATCTCACAGAAGGGGTTCATGGAGTGCTTCACACCATCAGTGACCACGCCCGACTTGTCCGGCTTCACCCGAATCTGCCCAGCAGGAGGGGAAGGGCAAGATCAGTGGGAGTCAGGTAGGACCTTGGGACCAACCCTTTCATGGGTAGATGGGGACAACAGTGGCCCACACAGCTCCAGGGCCAGGGCAGGGTTAGAATTTCAGGTGGGAGCTGGGCACAGTGGCACACACCTATAATCCCGGCCACTTGGGAGGCTGAGGTAGGAGGATTGAGTTCAAAGCCAGCCTCAGCAAAAGCAAGGTGCTAAGCAACTCAGTGAGACCCTGTCTCTAAATAAAATACAAAATAGGGCTGGGGTGTGTCTCAGTGGTGGAGTGCCTGAGTTCAATTCTCAATACTCATCCCCACCCCCACACAAAAAAAAGAATTTACAGGGAGGACACTGCCTCTCATTCAGACCATCCTGAGCACCAGGGACATCCAACGTGATTATCACCACTGGGTCTCTGGCCCTCAGGTCTGGCAGAGGGTTTCTCAAGCTTTGTTTGCTTTTGCCACAGGGAAAGATGAATCTGCCACACCCTCAAGTGTATCAGAAGGCCCACCTGCACACCCTCACACGAGCACCTGAGTGTCACGTTCTGTGGCATTACCCACCTTGCTATGCACCCCACCCCATGACACACCCCGTTCTCACTAAATACCAGCCCTCTTCCTTTTATCCTTCACCCAATCTAGAAAACCCCAGCGCGGAAGGCCTCTCTGCCTGACAGGTGAGGCGGTGGGCCTCCAAGGCCCTCTCACCCCTCTCTCCACGTGGCCTGTCTGCACTGAACGGTGCCATGTGCTGGCCCACACGGCACTCTGGGTCACTGCTGTGTCCAGGGCTGCAGTGTGAACTGGGGCTCCTGGTTCTGGAGGCCAGAAGTCCAAGACCAGTTCATCAGCCTGAGATCAAGGCGGAGGCCGGGAGGGCAGGCAGGGCACTCTCTCTGGAGGCCCCAGGGGAGGATCTGCTCCCTGCTCTTCCAGGTCCCCACGGCTGCCTCACTTCATCTTCAAGGCCAGCACCTTCACCTGTCTGCAAGTGGCCTCTCCTCTGTGTGTCAAATATCCCTGGGGCCGCTCTAGCACAAGAACCCCTGAGGTGGTATTTAGGGCCCACCGGGCACTCCAGGAAATCAAGTTGTGTGATGCATAGCATCTGGACGGGCCCTCCTCAGTCCAGGGCTAGGGATGGACTCCTCAGGGCCATTTCCTAGCCATCCAGTCCTCTGGAGAGCAGTCAGAGACATTATTGGCCACCACAGTGCAGGAGCACCGTGCCCAAGCCCTGCTTTCAGCGACTGCACATGTCCTGATGTGTTCATTCTGGCCACAGCCCACAGAGGGAGGAGATGTCATCGTCCCATTGTGCAGACAAGGAACCTGAGGCTCCAAGTTGAAGCATCTGGCTGAGGTCAGCACTAGGTCTGTCATGTGTACTGGGCCCCTGTTGTATCTCCTGACGTTGCCACGTCCAGGGAGGGGAGGGAGGGTGATGGGACCAACTAGGGAAGGCCTCATTGGAGTAGAGGTACTCAGGCTGTGATCTGAAAGATGAACTGACCAGGTGGACTGCAAGGGACAAGGGTTCCAGGAGTGGCAGGAGCAGGTGCCAAGGCCCTGAGGTAGGAAGGTGCAGGAAGAGTTTGTGGAGTCAAAGGAGACTTAGTGTGGCCAGTGGGGAGCAGGATGCCATCAGGCTAGAGAGGACAGCAGGGGCTAGACCATTGTGACAGGCATAGTGATGGCCTTCCAAAGTTGTCCATGTCCTGAGGAACCTGAGAATGAGACCTTATATGCAAGAGGCCCTTTATGGGTGTGACCAAATTGAGTTTTGAGATGGGATATTGGCCTGGGTTACCTGGGTGGGCCCGGATGTAATCATAGGGGTCCTTATAAATGGAAGAGGGCGCTGAGAGAGTGAGTGTCCAAGTCATAGAGAGGCCAGAAGATGCCCCACTGCTGGCTCTGCAGGAGGAGGAGGAGGGGCCTCCCTCAGGGATGAGGTGGTCTCCAGAAGCTGGGAAGGCAGAGACACGGGCTGTGCTGGAGCCTCGAGAAGGAACGCAGCCCTGCGGACACCTTGATTTCAACCTGGGGCCTCCAGAACTGTAAGGGGATGGCTTTGTGGCACCTATCTCGCCATCGCAGCCACAGGAGACAACTGCGCAGGCCCAGGAGGAAGCAAGGCGCTGGGCCTTGGCCTAAGGACCTCAGGGCAGGGCAAAGAGGCTGTCAACTGGAGTCAACTGGAGTTTTCACAGGTCATTCTGGATTCTTGGTGGGGGAAGTTGAAAGTGACAAGAGAAAGTGGGAGACAGGCAGCTGTTAGTCACTGACTTTAGAGAAGACAGCGGCTCAGACCACTGTGAAGTGGAGACGAAGAGGTAGTTGGACTCGAGGATTTGAAAGGGAACTGAAAGGCCCTGGGGCTGTATGGAAAGATGGGAGAGTCGAGGCCTTGTGTTGCTTTAAGTAATGGTGCTTTAGAACCAGAGGCAAAAGATTCAGCGATACATTTCTAGGTTTGCTCTTAAGGGGGCAACAGACTGAACTTCTACAAAAACAGCCACGATCCTCGATCCTTGCAGGCAACACCCCCAGGGTTCATATGCATTAACTCCCATCCCTGTCCTGCCATCCTGAGAGGTTGGTCACTGCCATTACCAGACTCATTTTACAGTGGGGACAACTGAGGCAAAGAGGCAATGTGTCTTGCCCCAGGTCATGCAGAAAGAAAGTGGCAGGATCAGGGATCTGACCCCAAGACTGTCTTGGCATGGGGTGGCTCTGGAAGAGGCTGAGTTGGCCTTAGACAGCCAGCCTTCGGGTTCGTGCCACTACATCTGACAGGGTTTAGACGGTGTGATTTCAACAGCCCCTCCTGGACACAGGGCAAGGACTCATTTGCTTCTGTCCTCTAGCCTTCTCTGTCTAGCATGGTAGGAAAGGGTACAACCTGGGACCCAGAGCAAGCAGCACAGCAAGGCCGGGTGTAGGGACTGTGGCCAGTGAGCAAGGCCAGCCACAGACTGCTGCTCTAGGACTGGGGCTCTGAACCCTTCAATAAGGGAGCTCCTGGGTCGATGGAGAAGAGTCCTGAGGAGGGGGTATGTGCGCCCCGGCAGAGGAGGAGGCAGGGGGCATAAGTATGGGGAGTGGAGGAAAGTGGGGAGCCAAGGTGCATTCTCACCCAGAACTGGGAGAGGGTGGGGCTGGTGGGCCCAAGGTGGAAACAGCCTTCCTGGGCTTCAAGTTCCTGTCCTGAAGCCCAGCTGGGAATGTAGCTCAGGGGTAGTGCACCTGCCTAGCACTGTTCAAGGTCTTGGAGCAACGCAGGAGGCTGAGGCAGGAGGATGGCAAGTTCAAGGCCAGCCTGAGCAGCTTAGCAAGACCCTGTCTCAAAACAGAGAAAGGGCTGTAGATGTAGCTCAGTAGTAGAGCACCCCTGGATTCAATCCCCAGTACAACAATCAGTCGATAAATAGAAAATGAAGCCCAAATTACGAATACAAAATTGCCCCAGCCTTGCCTCTCCTGGGCCCCTAAAAGAGGCCTCCAATGGCTTCATGGAAAATGTATTCCTGGCCAAGGCTGGGCATCAATGGTTGCCAACTGCCTCTTAAGAGCCCCCCCCACCCACACACACACACGTGTGTGTGTGTGTGTGTGTGTGTGTGTGCGCGCGCGCGCGTGCGCACTGAACAGAATAAGTGGCTAAATGAACCTCCACTCCTGCGCTACCAATAGTGACAGTACCTACTCCATGACAGTCAACACAAACTTTGTGTCAGGTGCTGTCCTAAGAGCTTACTCCATCTTCACTACCACCAACCAAACAGGTACTACCATCATCCCCATTGTACAGAGGGGGACACGAGGTTCAGAGTGGCTAAGTAACTTCCTCAAGGCCATGCAGCAGGAAGTGGAACCAAGCAGCTGGTCTGGGAGTCAAGGCTCTGAAGCATTCAAGTAGCGTAGCTGCCAAGACAGACACACCAGACAGACTCCAACTTCCAGGAGGAGTGGACAAAATGCTGAAGTAATAAATGTAATGTGATAAGAGTATGGCAGCGGGTACAGCAAAGAGGGGGACAGAGACTCTGGGGCTGTAATCTTGAGGGGACCAGGGAAGGCCACAGAGAAAGTGATCTTTGAGTAAAGACTTGAAGGAGATGAGGTAACTGAGGGATGCGGGAAACAGATGGGTCAGACCTGGTCCTCCCCGTGGGGAGCTGCCAGTCTGGGGATGATGGCAAACAGAGGATCACAGTCCAGTGTGAGGAAGGCCAGTGACCATGCCCAGGGGCTTCAGGAGTGTCCAAAGGCACACCAAGGTAGCCTGGGGTAGGGTGGGAGGCTTCCTAGAGGTTGACAAACTTCTGTTATAATCGATGGATCAGAATGAAGCAGGACAGGTAGGGCATGGTGGCACATGCCTACAATTCCAGCGACTTGAAAGGCTAAAGCAGCAGGATTGCAAGTTCGAAATCAGCCTCAGCAACTCAGGGAGGCCCTAAGCAACTTAGCATCACATTGTAGCAAAATAAAAAATAAAAAGGGATGGGGATGTGGCTCAGTGGTTAAATGCTCTTGGGTTCAATCCCCAGTACAGGAAGGAAGGAAGGAAGGTAGAAAAAATGCAGGTGAGCAAGACAGGAGAGGGACACAAGGCCAGGTGGAAGGTGGTGGAGGAGCAAGAAGGGCACCCAGGGAGAAGGCAGACCACTGGCAAAGGCCCCAGCAAGAAGCAGCCTGGTGCATCAGGAGAGGAGGCACAGGGTCCCACAAGGGATAGAGATGGCTGAACCTGACCATGAAGGTCTCTAATGCCAGGCTGAACAGCCAAGATTTCATACTGAGGGTGCTGGGGAGCCACAGGAGGGCCATGAGTAGGGTCAGCTCTGGATGCAGGAAGGCCCCTAAGGCTAGAAGAAGATGGGCTGGAGGGAAAGGCTGAGTTGGGGGAAAAGGGGAGCCTGGTACTGCAGCCAGATGACAAGAGGAGGCCTGCACAGCAGGAGCCGAGAGGAGATGGAGAGGAGACAATGGGGCAGGGAGAGAAGGCTGAAGATGGGCTGCAGTAGGTGAGGCTTAGGGCTTGAGGCCTGGTCTGGCCCCGTGATGAGATGGCTAGTAGTGTCTGAATCATTTATTTGTTTCCAAAAGGGCCATAATCAGACCCATCCAGACAGGAAGTAAGAGAGAGCCCTGGGCCAGTGTGGGAGGGGAAGTGGCACTGACCCTTGGGAAACTGATACAATTCTGCATTCACACTTTGCTCTCTGTTCTCTTACCTAACACACCACAGGTACCCATGTGCCAGGCTCTGTGCTGGGTGCCACTGCGACCATAGCTGTGTCAAGCATGGTGAGGGAGACACAGCTGACCTAGATAGCCCAGGCCAGGGAGACCAGTGCTGGGGCAGGGGGATAAGTCCATAGGAGTCCAAATGGGGCCCACTGAGGAACAGGCAGAGGTAGGAAGAAATCAGGAGTCAGGTTCCAGGACCTCAAAACAGCATGTCTGAAAACAGGATGGAAGTGACACCCCTGTCCTATGCTGCCTGAGGCATCATCAGGCCAAGTGGCTGCTGAGTGGAGAGAGGCACAACAGAGTCTGGAGCAGGACCTGCCTGGATTTCCTAAGTCTGCTACTTACTAGCTGGGTTATCTGGCAAGTAAGAGAACCTCACAGGCCTCGGTTTCCTTGTCTGTCCCATGGGATTAATAACAGTGGATATAGAAAAGGTTAGGACTGAATGGGTTCATCTCTGTAAAGGACTCAGAATGCCTCCTGGCACAGGGTAAGAACCTACTTAACGCCAGCTGTTCTGATACGTACCCTCCTCCCCAAGTGCCCCAAGCAGGCAGGGGTACTAACAATGGCCCAGCTGCACCCACCCTAAGACCCTGTGTCAGGCAATGCTTGGGGACACAGGTGAGCTCCCAGTCTGATGGGGGGACAGACATGACAGCATTTTAGGTCATGCATTAAGAGAAACTGGCCTGAGAGTCCATGTCTGATTCATCTCTGCCCATACCAGTTTCCCTCTGGGGACAAGCCAGATCCTTAGGGATGCTGCCTACCCCAACCCCTTAAGTGAGTCACTCCCCCAGCTCAGTCAGGTTGGCCCTTTGAACTTTCCTCTCTAACAAACATGTCTCCCTCCTTTCCTAGCTAGAGCTCCCTCTCCCACCTGTGGCTATGAGGGTGAAAGACAGTTCGTGTGTCCAGTCGTGCCCTGATGGGGTCTTAGGACATTTGGAGTACTGTAATCAAGCAGGCAATGGGGTCTAGAGGGTGAAAGCTTGGCTCGTGTGCAAAACCCGAGTCTGAGTGTGGACTCAGAGGACCTGGGCAGGATTCTCGGCTCTGCACCTTCTAGCCGAATGACCTCCTTGTGGCTCAGCTTCCCCGTGTGGTTAAACAGCGACTGTGGCTCTTACAGTCAGTGAGAAATACAGAAAGTAACTCGCTTTGCACAGTTACTAGGAAACTGAGTCCAGAGCGAGGAAAAGGAAATGGTCCGTGCCTTGAAAGGGGTGGATATCAGAACCTAACAGCCCTTGATCTTTGCCCCCAGGTGTGACTTTGACGTTCGGGGGACAGCGGCAGCGATCAGAGGCTACGAGAAGATCCCCGTACAGTGCGTTCGTGATCCCGGAAGCGCAAGGCCGCGGGGCTCAGGGAGTGGGAGAAGGGGGCCCGGTCACCTTCACGGCGAAGTCGATGACCCTCTTGACAGCCACAAGTGCGCGCAGCTCCGCCATCTTCCCGCCGCAGCCACTTGCTGGGTCAGCCAGCACCCGGCCCCTGCGTCCGCCACCTCCCCCACCCGCCCCGTCTCTGCGCCTGCGCACCTCGCGTCCAGCCAGTCAACCACCACCGTCCCGTTACCCCGCCCCGATAGGGAACCAATCAGAAGGCCGGAGGGAGGGAGCCAATGGGAGGCGGATCCCCAGGAGAGAGGCGGGACCCGGGGCGTGGCGGGAAAGTAGGGGAAAGGTAGCGCTGCCGAGGGCGGCTCTGCCGGGAGGGACGGACTCCCTCCCGGCTTCTCTAAGCTCCTCCCGGTGTCCCTCCAGATCCTCCTTCTTCCTCCTCTCTAAATCTCCGTGCCCAGGTCCCCACCCCGTGCCCTTGTTCTACGCCTCTGAGTCCTCAGGTTCTCTCCCTGCCGGCGTTTCCCATCGCCTCCATATATCCGCGTCCACCCCTGTCTCCACTTTCCCTCTGCGTCGTCGCCATACCCTCTCCATGCGCCCACGTCCCCTCGTGGCTCCACTCCCCTGTGTCCACTCCAGCTTCGTGTTTCCATATTCGCGTCCCCTCCTCCGCTTCCGCATTCCCTCTAGGCCGTGCCCTTCTGTCCCCCCTGAGCCTCTATATACCCCCACGTCAGCGACCCCGTGGCCCTGTGTCCCCCAGAAATGCACTTGGAGCCATGGCGATAAAAGCCGTTCCTTTATTCTGTCCCAGGCAGACGCGGTTACAGGCACACGGGGAATCCACTGATGGCATCGGTGCTTTGCAGGATCATGTCCGCCAGGAGAAAGCAGAAGCCTGGCGGGAGGGAGGGGAGCGAGGGCGGGTGGAGGAAAGTGGGCCCTGGGGCCGATGACCAGGCGGGCCCGGGGGACTGGGATTTGGGGTGCCAAGGGCGTCTCTGCTGGGTCCGCGGGAGTATGGAGTGGAGTGCGTTTGGAAGTCACTGTGGGGTGTCCCGGGGTAGTGGCTGGGGAGTCTCGGGGGAGGGGGTCCTCTGGACAGTCTCTTCAACCCTCTTCCCGACTGTCCAAATTACCCGCGAGAATATAGAAGGGTAACGCCAGCCATCCCAAAAAATAGGACCAGGAGAAGAAGACGTCGTCCTTCCAGGCATTCTTCACCGTGTAGCCTATCAGGGCGGTCAGCAGCAGCAGCCCTGGGCCACGCCCGCCCGCCAGGTGAGCATGGCCAGGTGGGTCTACACCGTGGCACCACCCAGGCCACACCCCTAAGAACCGCCCCGTTGTGACCACTCCCACCCCCCCTCGAAGCCGGGCGTCGAGTCCTGCCCCTTAGTTCCTCCTGCTCCAAATACTGCCCCACTCCTTCTGCTCGTTTCCGCCCAGCTCAAGCCCCTTGGTCACTCCCAGGCCCACCCTCTGCTGGTGGCTGCTGCCTCTCACCGCTAAGGAAGAGCAAGGAGACTGTAGTCCGGGCCCGCAGCGGCTCGCCCTTGTGGCACGTAATCCGCATCCCCATCACCATGGCCACGATGCCAAAACCAGCCGTCAGCACCATGCACGCCGCGGTAACGGCCAGCGTGGCTGGGGAGAGTGGGCCGCATCAGTCCTGAGCGGGAGCTGCCCCTCCTGCGACAGCTTGGGTCGCAAGGTGGAGCTGTCCTGGCCAACAAGTCCACCCGCCAAGAGCCCAGCTTTCCCGACCCAGAGTCAGGTGTTTGGTTGGGGACCTAGAGGTCACGTCGGGATGTCGGGATGGGCGGTTAATGTCGTGGCAGGGAATCTGGTCCACAAGTGGGGGTCGGCAGTGGCCCGAGCCATGGAAGGCAGCTGGATCTGGGCCTGGAGTGAAAGGGGCGGGATGGGCACCTGCTCTTGGGCCCGGCTTTTGTGTCTGGGGCTGTCTGGGGGGCTCACAAGTGTGGTCTGACATCTGGGAGGGCGGGCCTCACTCTGGCAGGGGATGTTGGAGCAGGTGTTTTTGGTGCATTCCTGCCACAGGCCACTGTGGCCCTGGTGGTGGCGGGTCCAGTAGTTGGTGGCAGTGGACAGCACCGTGAGGACGTTGGCCAAGATGGTGAGCAAAGTGCCCCCGCTCTGAAGGCTCCGCTTCACCCCCATGCCAAGGAGGCTGCTGCCAAGGACCACACAGGCAGGATTGGCCACACCCCAGAGGCCGTGCTTCAGGATGTCTCTCGCCCCCAGCACCCCTTTCTGGGGCCGCTACTCCTGGGAACCTGAAGACTCCCTTCCTTTAGACCCCCACGCCCCAGGTCCCTCCCTTAGTAACTCTGCCTGGGGACCCACTGCCCCTCCCCCCAGACCCTCAGTCCTCCCTGCCCAAGCCTTCCAACTAGGGACTTTGAGACCCCCCTATGGAGGCCCCTGGCCTCAGCTCTGCTCCAGAACCTCTTCCCAGGGGCCTTCCTCCACAGGTGGAATGTCCTTTCAACCCGCCCAGTGTCCTTCCCACCCAAGTGACTCACACTCAGCTCCCTGGGGCTTCTTAGACTCGGAGCCCAGAGGGGTGGGGGAAGGGAGACTGGGTGTCTGTGAGGCAGCCAAAGTTCCAGAACTCCCTCCCTCAGCAGCCATTTAAAGGAATACCCCCACCCCTTCCCACATTCCACACACTGGCCAGCAACCCTCTCATCCACAGGCCTAGGGGTAGGGGAGCTTGAGAGCCACCACGTGGGAGATCAAGTCCTTTGAGAAATTTCTCTTCCCTTGACATTCAAGGCACCCCAGGAACTGGGGTCTGCGGCAGCTCTCCAGCTGTGCCCCTCTCAGACCACATGTGGGCTCAGGACGCTGGCATCTCCTCCACTGCCCTTGTCAGCGCTGCTGTCCCCTGAGGCGCCATCCTGCACCTCTTTCCAGGTGGGCCTCCTCACTCCCCCAGCTGGCACCTGATATTCTGAGAACAACCCCAAATCCATCTCCAACATCTTCTGAGACCCCAGACCAGTCCTCACCTGCTCCTGGCTGTCCCCCAGGACCTCACACTCAGCCACATCCCAACGGAGCTCAGAGGCTTCCACCAAACTTGGGATGGACCCACCAACCCACCCAGTTCATCAGGCAGAGCCCTGGACACTGTCCAGGCCCCTGCATCTGCCAGGGTCATTCCCTCTTTTCCATCTTGGGCCCTGATCCAGCTCAGGCCCCATCCCTTCCCCTCTCCTATCACCTCCCTAACCTCCAGGCCTCACTTCCATGTTCCCAGATGAATCTTTCTGGCACTTAGGGACACTGTCTCTCCCTTGCTCACAAATTTCTCCTAACTCCAGATCACCCTGAGGAGAAAGCCCACTGTGGCATCAGAGGTCCCCAGATCCCATCTGTTTCTCTGTTCTCTCTCCCTCTCTATTCCACATTCTGGCCACAGAACATCATTCTCCATCCCCAGAAAACTTCTGGACTTCCTATTGCCTGCATCTTTGGGTCCCTCTACCTAGAAATTACCCTGTCTTGGCCCTCAAGAAGTTCCTAAATGCCTTTTCCCCTCAAGAGTTCATCTCTGCACTTGTACCAGAGGACTGGTCTTCCTGTCACCTTCCTGCTCCCATGGGTAAACCCAGGGCCTTGCACATGCTAGCAAACATCCCACCACGGAGCTACATTCCCAGATCCTTTTAAAATTTTATGTAAAAATCCCCCGGCACTTCCTCCTGGTCTTGCTAAGTTGCCCAGGCTAGTCTTGAACTGCCTCTCCTCTTCTCACGGAGCCCCTGTTGGGCAGGAACTGGGTCTGACATGTCAGTGACCCTAGCATGGCCCAGCAAAGGAGAGAGAAGAGTAAAAAGCTAGCTAAAGGGGAAAGGACACAGAAGAAATGAGAAAGGGAGAAAGAAGAGCGTTAGAACCAGGTGCAGAGGCGCACAGCTATCATCCTAGCAACTCGGGAGGCTGAGGCAGGAGGATCACAAGCTCCAGACCGGTCTGGGCAGCTTAGTGAGGCCCTATCTCAAAAGAAAAAAGGGCTGAGCTCAGTGATACAGTGCCCCTGGGTTCAATCCCCAGTGCAAAGAAAGAAAGAAAAGGAAAGCACTAGAGAAAGAAAGCAGGAGACACACTTGGGACGTATTGAGCCTGTGCCCACATTGAGCCTGTGCCCAGAAGCACCCTGCAGGCAGGTCTGGCCAGCTCTCACCCACCCTGGACACCCACTGTCGCCCACCAAGGAGCCAATGTGGGGCTGGTTTCCATCTTGACTGAATTAATCTTGAAATATCAGAACTCAGCAAATTTTTATTGAATGAATGAAGACATAATAAATGAAGGGGGAAGGGCTGGGAGAGAGGGATAAAGGCAGAGTCAGGCATTCGTTCCAGCAGCTTCTGATGATGCCTTCAGAGAACAGCGCCCCAGACTCATCCTGGTATTCTCGCCTTCCACTCACAAGCTTTCATAGCCGGGCTGCTGGGCACCACGGTGAGCACCTAGACTCAGGGCACCTGGGGTGGCCAGAGAGAATTAAGCACTTCCTCCTGCTTTGCACCCTCACTGTTTCTAGCTGGGCCTCCCCAGCTCCCCAGGGCTGGGTGGTTACCTGCACAAAGCCAGAGGATGGCTGAGACCCAACCCAGGTAGAAGGACCAGGAAAAGAAGGTCTGGATCTGGGGGTGTTGAGGCTGGGCCCACCTCTCTCCTGTGTACACAGCCATGGCCACCACCAAGGAGAGAGCTGGGGGCAAGGAGCAGAGAGAGATGGTTCAGGCCTCTGGAGGAGCTCACAGGCTTCGAAGCCCAAACCCTTCCCAGAGTACCTGCAGCAAAGGCTGTGATGGTTGAGACCAGAGGGCCGCGGCCTGGGGCAGACAAGGAAGGGATACAGGACAGGACCAGGAAGCCCACCGACACCAGGCCCCACACAGCAGCCAGGATGCAGAAGCTCTGGGTCACGTGGATGGAAGCTGGATGCAGATGAGACTTCTGAGTGTCCATTCCCCACCGGCCATCCTCCCACATGAGAGCCCTCTCCCCCTTACCTGCTACTGTCTCCCAATGTCCCGATGGCCAGAGGCCTGAGTGAGCAGAGGAGGTGGGTCCCATGGCCACGAACCAAAAATCGGTGCTCAGAGCAACCAGGGAGGCTATCAAGCCCAGGGAGCCAGCAAGCAGGGCCAGAGACCGGCAGGGCTCCATGGGGTGAGTGCTGGGTTTCTGGGCTCCAGGCAATGAAAAGGTTTCAGACCCAGGCTGCAGACTTGGAGAGAGGAGGAACTGTGTGCCCAAACTCCTGGGTTCTCTGAGCTCCAGAAGAAGCCAGCACGCAGCAGAATCTGCTAGGTGCCTTGTGCAACCTCAGAAGAGGCCAGGCTGTTTTCTCGCAGTTCCCATCAGCTGACTCTTCCTGAGTTGCACATACAACCAAGCCCGCCCTCCCCGGCAAGGCTGGGCTCCCTCCTGTCGTGTGTGGAGGGCGGGCACTGGGGGTGTCAAAGCATTGGTGGTTTAGCTGGTGGCTTAGAACTTGTGTCTTTGTGGCAGGTTCTATACCTCCCACCCTTGGAACCCTTAACACCAGAGATAGCTTCCTGGAAGGGGTGAGAAAGAGAGACTTGGGGGCCCGGAGGAGGTGGGAGGTGGCCAATCAGGCTCTGGTGTGAGTTAAATGGGAGGGGAGTTGCGGCTGGAGGGGACAGTTGGTGACCTGTCATGCTTTCCTGTGGTTTTGTAACCTTCTATTCTGGGAAAGGAGGGCCCCAACTCCAGGGAGGGTCTCCACCAAAGGAAGGGACTAGGGGGCCAGAACTAGACTCCAGGTCCAGGGCTGAAATTTATACCTGGGGCAGGCAAATGGGGTGGAGAGCTAGCATTCTGAAAGGCCATGGAGAGGAAGACCCGCCCACATCCTCATCTGATAAATGAGAGGCAACTCTGCCTGGTGGTGGGTTCTTCAGCATGGGGGCGGCAGGTGCATGGGCAGTGGGGACAAAGATGTCAGGGCCGGCCTCTGGCCTCTCAGCATCAGGTCCTGGACAACACCTCACCTGGGAGGCGGAAGTGCCACAGCCCAGGGAGAAGGCCCAGGAACACCTTCCTCCTATGAATGGGGGAATGGCCTGGAAGGGGACATTGGTCATGACAATGAACTGGGCCAGCTGTCCCAGGACGGCTGGAGAATGGAGAGAACAAGAAATGTCCCAGGAGGCTAGCTTCTCTGCTCAATTTGTAGGCCCCATCTCTGCTCAGGTCCCCACCAGTGAGGCAAGTGGGTGCTCCTGAGAACAAGGACAGGCCTGCAGACATGGGTGAAGGTCATCATGAGCAGGAGGGTCACCAGCACAAACATACAGACAGGTCTGTGGCAAGGAGCAGCCAGACAGCTTCAGGAAGTCGGGGCTACTGGTGGGTGGTGAGCACAGAGGCCACCTGTGACAGTGACCCCATCATAACCCCAGTTCCAGCTCCAAATTCAACCGCAGCCCCAAACCCAGCCCCTCTAGCTCCTCCCTGCCCACCTGTCACCCTCATCTTCACCTCCAGGTCCAAGCCCACACCCCTGTTTCTCCTTCCCTCAAGTGAGCACCCTGACATCCAGGCCTGCCGCATACACACAGGTGAGTGGTACCTGGCCCCAGCAAATCCCCGCACATGTGAGCATCCCAGGCTGGGCCCAGGCTGGGGACACACACCTTGAGCCAGCGGGGGCAGGTGGAGGTCAGGAAGAAGAGCACAAAGGCAGGAGAGCCAAATGTGACCTTGAACAGGAGGTTGGTCTGAGGTGGCCAGAGGGGAAACCAGGCTGGTTTTGAAGCTTTTCCTGAGAGTGCACATGAGTTCCTTGCTTGTCCACACTGTCAAACTGCTGGTTTCCTTAGATCTCTACCTGTCTATCTAAGTGCTGCCAGTTTTTCTGAGTCACCCCGGGTCTCTCCAGGCCTTTCCTGCCTCTTCAGGCTCGAGCACTCCTTAGCAGCCCCCAACCATACAGAACACCCACCCAGCGTCATCACTCAGGGGTCTTCTGTGAAGGGTCTGCTCGACCCACTCTGGCCACACAGAGAGCTGCTCTTGGCTCTATTGGTATTGATTCTGTCTTCAGGGCCAATGCCCCCTGCCTCAAATCCCAAGGCTCCACCTGCACCCAAGACCCTCCTCCCGTGCCTCACACTTCTACTCTTTTATTTGGTATATCCAAAGTCTCTCTCCTTCCACTACTTTCCATGTTTTTTTCAGACTTCAAGAAGTTATTTCTGTCTTAACAGGAATAAGATCTTATTGATTTAGGGGCCCAAAATTGAGAATACAGCATTGCACAAGGCATGTAGGACCCTGATTGTCCCCGAACCTACATTATATCATACATTCCATTGAAGAAGTGAATGCCTGCACCTGGCCAGAGAATTGGCACCATTCAAATCGTGTCTTCACAAAACTGCATCTGAACCCTGTGCAGAGCAGATTTCCGCAGGGGTTGGGGAGGGGAGACCAGGCCAGGAGGCTGCCTAGGAGGCTGTGGCAATGTCAGGTGGGGACAATTAAGGCTTGGACCAGGTGGTAACTGTGGATGGACAAGAAGGAGCCAAAATGCAGATACATTTTTAAAGGTAGAGTCAACATAATAATGCTGATCTATGAGCAAATATGCTCATAGATTAGATGTTGGATGTGACAGAAAGAAGGGACTGAGAGCTGGGCGTGGTGGCTCCCACCTGTAATCCCAGTGGCTTGGGAGGCTTGAGGCAGGAAGATCTCAAGTTTGAGGCTAGCCTCAGCAACTTAGTGAGACCCTGTCTCAAAATGAAAAGAGAAAAGGCTGGGGATGTGCTTAGTGGTTAAATATCCCTGCGTCCAATCCCTGGGAAGGAAAGAAAAAAGTAAGAAGGAAGGAAGGAAGGAAGGAAGGAAGGAAGGAAGGAAGGGTGGAGGGAGGAAGGAAGGAAGGAAGGAAGGAAGGAGGGAGGAAGGGTGGGGAGGACTGATGATCTGCAACGTTCTTGTCTTGAGCAACTATGTAAAAATGGAGTTGTCATTTTCTAAGAAGGGGAGAGCATGAGAGGAGCACTTGTGTGGGGGGGTGGAGAGACAGAGAGAGAGAGAGAGAGATGGAGGGAGGGAGGAACTTATTTTTAGACCTGTGACATTTGAGATGTCTCTTCTTTTCAAGTGGAAATGTTGAGTCAGTAGCTGGAGGTCTGATTCTGGAGTTATAACTATATCATTATTATTGCCCAATAAGCCCTTATAAATACGATTACTGAAATAAGCCTCAGTAAATATTTGTACCTACATAGGCCCCAATACATTATTATTACAGAAGGCCTCAACTGCCATTATTATCAGAGGAAGCCTCTATAAATACAGTATTGTTTTTTGAGGAGGCTCCAATAAATAACACGTTAGGGAATAAGCTCCTATTCACATAACATTTATTCGCATAGGCTGTAATAAAAATGCTTATTATTAGAATCCACCTCACTAACTAGTCTCCTGTGGTTGGCATCTGTTTACTAAATGAACTAATGAGTGGGTGAATGAAGAGAAGTCAGGTTCATCAACGGTGCAAGCTCCGAGTGTGGTGTTTCTAGCTGGAGGAGCCCCTGCCAGGGCGGGAGAGGAGACTGGGGGAGCCCACAGGGACTGGGGGTGGCTTGCCAGGGAGGCTGTTTTCTCTCTCACCTTTTCATTGATCCTGTTATCTGACACATCCATGACTAACTCCTGGGTGAGACCACGTGATGTATCTCTGTCCCCAAACTTACAGAAATGGAGAGGGCCGGGCCTCCTTAATACGGCACCCCTACCTCACACCCACCGACCACACTCACCTCTGCTTCTTTTCACCTCCAAAGATTCACACTGCGGTAGTTTCACGTCAGTTTTATTAGACCCCAAAATGTCACTCTAAAGGATATTGTTTCTCTAACAACGGCCCGGCAGGTTGGGGATTGGGTCACCTCCACTGCCCGTCGCCAGGCCCTGTTCTTCTTCCTTCCCCTCAGGACACAGGAGTCAGAGGCCCCTTCCCCGAGTCTGGGACTGAGCCCCACATCCCCCCAGGAACCAGGATTTCAGGCCTCCAGACCCTCCTCCTCTCCAGTGACCTCACTGTAACTGGGCTGACGTTGGGCTCAGCGGGGCGTGGACAGGCGCCGGCACTCATGCATGCGGTAGGCACACATGTAGAAAATCCCTGCGGGAAGGGATCCCAGTGGACCTGCAGACCCCTCCCAAGCCCCCACACTCCTTCCCTCCATCCCTGGGTGGCCACAGGCCCCAGGCCCCTCAGGCCTGGAGTCTGCCTGCAGATCAGGACTGTGGGGTGCATGGGGAACACCCCAGCATCTCGCCCCCACCCCGAGTGCCCACCCTGTCCCGGACATCGACCTTCCCACCCTGGTACCTGCAAAGAAGGTCATGAGCAGGGCTACCCAGCCCAGGATGTAAGACCAGGAAAAGCGCCAGTCCCCGAAGCGGCGGCCTAGGAAGCTGACCGTGACTCCCGTGTAAATGGCCAAGGCCAACAGCACGAAGAGGGCTGGGGAGAGAGGATGGTGAGGACGGCCCAGGGGGGCTGGGTGTGGGGTGGGCAGGGGGCTGCCGCCGGGGGAGGGGCAGAGGTCAGGGAAGGCAGGATGGGGGAAGGGAGAAGGGTGTGCATGGGGCTGGAGAACTGGGGCAGGGGGGCAGTGTACACACAGGAGGGAGGTCGAATCCCTGAGAGCCCCTGAGTAACAGGACTCTCTTTGTCATTCCTGAGCCCGTGGGCCACACCTGAGTTCACATCCGTGACTCAGGAAGCCGCTCACCAGGAGAGCGCCTGGGGCTGGAGCTCTGAGCCCCTTGATGTCAACACAACCCCTTGGGGAGCAGCGGGGGCTGGAGGTCAGGCCCCACTCATGGCCAGTTGTTCTGTCAAGCAAGCCTGAGTAAAACCCATGAGTCTGCCTGCAGATCAGGACTGTGGGGTGCCTGGGGAACCTGTCTGATCCTGCTGTAAGCAGAGCACTTTCCTGAGTTCTACGAGTTGCCCCAATATGTGTGTGTGTGTGTGTGTGTGTGTGTATTGGTCCTAGAGATTGAACCCAGGGGTGCTCCACCACTGAGCTATATCCCCAGCTCCCCACCCACCTTTTTAATTTTTATTTTAAGACAGGGTCTGGCTAAGTTTCACTGAGGCTGGCCTTGAACTTGTGATCCTCCTGCCTCAGCCTCCCCAGTCACTGGGATTACAGGGGTGTGCTGCTCTTCCCTCCAATACATTTCAGGAACCCTTGGATTTGTAGTCAGCTGGTCAGAAGTACAGTTGGCCTGGGAGCTGTGACCAGGAGCTGTGACCCTAACCTGTGGAGTGGTTAAGCCAGAAGTAAAGTGCACCACGTGGTGTCAGATGTGACTGGAATCAGAACTGAGGGTTCTCAGTGGAGGGGGGCGGTTGAGAAGTCGGTTTGGGGAGTGGGTTGCCATTAGGGGGCAGAGCTGGGAATGAGGGGGAGCTGGGAGTTGGAAGGGGGGAGGGGAGGGCTCACTCACTGGAGGCAAAAAACATGATGCCCGCGGAGAAGGGCCGCGACAGGCGGGTGAAGGCGGACTGCTGCGCAAAGGCCAGGATGCCCATGACGATGCCCGAGGTGGCGCACAGAGCGGACAGGATCATGAAGGCCCGGGTGGCATTCCAGTAGGCTGTGGGAACACCCAGGTCACTCCCAGGCCGCTCTAGCAGGGACCCTGCTTCCCTGGGACAGGACATCTCGCCCTCTCCGTGACCCCAGCCAGCTGCCCTGGGCTTCTCGGCAGACGCCTTCCTTTCCACCTGGCAAGCTCCTCCTCATCCTCCTGTCTCTCAAGACCTCCTCTGAGAAGGTCCTTCGCCTCCGGGCATCACGCTCGCCCGCTGTTCAGGGTCCTGATTTCTCCCTGAGGACAGGGACTGTGTTGATTCTTGCCGTGAACAACCTCAGCCCAGGTTTGGTTTGCACACGGGTCTGGAGAAATGTTTGTTGAACGAGCGGTGAGTTCAGATTCTCCGAGCCCTCCTGCTCTCTCGGAGCCCTCTTCCATTTCCTCAGGCCCCTCGCTCATCTCCAAAGTCCTGTTCATTTACTTTAACCTTGTCCACAATGCCTGTCTGTTCCCACCAAATTTTCAGCTCTGTGAAGACAGGGCCTTGCTACCAGGGCCCTAGTACTGTCTCCCACTCCTTATCTTCAACCAGCAACTGGGTTAGGCACCCAGGAAGCAAGTCAAGGGCTCCTGCTCTTAAATTGGGGGAGCAAATTACGGCCGATTCAAGTCAAGTCAGCTGTTTTGACAAATACCCAAGAATCCATGCAAGTGGCTGTCCCTGGTTTTGTGGCCCCAAGGATGTCAAAGGAACTGGAGACCTGCACTAAACCTGGCAGGGGTGAGCTGAGGAGGCAACTCAGAGCAGCCCATCACAGAGGGCCCAGGATGAAGTGGGAGGGATGGAAGGGGTCACCAAGGGTCAGCCACAAGTAAAAAGCATGTGTGGTGTCAGGCAGATGGCGTGACAAACCCTCCCACTGCTCCCCACCTCAGCGTGTCCCCCAGCAGTGGGTATTGTGCTGCCCCTCTCTCAAGGCTGACTCAGCAAAGGGGTCTGCGAAATCTCCCTGCCACAGAGGAGAATTCGGTAAGGATGCGCCCCTCAGAGGATGTTTGACTATTCACAGTCAAATCTCTCTATTCACACACACCCTTGACCTGCCCTCCTGGCGGTGCTGGGAGACAGCAGGGGCTTAACCCACACAAAGTGTTAAGAATAGCACGTTGGACACAGTAAGCACTCAATAAATGCAGGCTGCTACTATTACTACTATTAGTACTATTAGTAACTATAGTATTAGTTAAATAACATTAACTATTATGTAATGTATTACAATTACATATTATTAATTTATATTATATACTTCAAATCTATCAAATGTAATGTGTTATTAAAATAATTTGTATGCATAAGACACACTATATAATTTTTGGATATGATAGACTATTATTCTATGTAATATACTATACATCTATATGTGCATCTCTCTGTATGTCTGTGTGCAAGGTGGCCTGGCATGCAGTAATAAAGTACATCATCCAGTATTCAGCACCTGTACAGCTTCTCTGCCTCCCAGGTCCTAACATGATTATTGGTCCATAGTAGATATTTATTTGTATATTATTATTATTATTACCAAGGATTGCATGTAGGGGTGCATAACCATTGAGCTACAACCCCCAGCCCCTTTTCATTTTTAGACAGGGTCTTGCTAATCTTCTGAGGCTGCCTTTGAACTTGCAATCCTCCTGCCTTGGCCTCCCGAGCCTCTGGGATGACAGGACTGCATCACCACTAAACCCACTTGTAGCAGATATTTATAAAATGTTGTTCAGGCAACCCCAGCTCCAGCTGCTGTGCCTGACACCTCTTTGTTTCAGGAAATGCCACCTCCTAGCCTAACCTCCACACTAATACATCCTGCCCCTGCAGCTAGAAAACAATCCTGAAATCCTGATTCTGCCCCTCCGAGCCCAGTGGCTGTGGGCCTGTGGTCCCTTTTCCTTAAAGCCGGAGGATCTCCCTCCGGAACACCCCCCCGCGGCGGCGGGGGCTCTGTCCCAGGGCTCACCAATGCTCTCCGTCTGCAGGTAGCACTTGTGGCCCAGGCAATACCGCCACAGGCCTTGGTGAGCGAAGGACCCTGACAGCCGGTACTGCATCCAGTGGTCTGTTGCCGTGGCCACCACCAGGAGGATGGTCCCCACCCATGCACAGAAGAGGCCGCCACCCATGAAGCTGTACATGGTGATCTGCAGGGAAGGGGAGAGAGGGGGCTGGGAGCTGAGCACCTGGGTGCTGGTGGAGGAAGGGACTTGGGGAGGAGGGGAGGCCTGGGACCCCTGAGTCCTTGTGGGGAGGAAGCTGGAGTGTGGACTCCTGGTTCTGTGAGAGAAGCAGGCTGGGGGCCTGGATTCCTGGATCCCAGGGGAGGAGGGGGCTGGGGCTGGGACACCAGGTCCCTGGACAAGGTGGGGGCGGGGAGCCCAGACCTCAGGTCCTGGGGGAGGGGGCTGCAGGTCTCATGCCTGATGCCTACCTGAGTGGCAGAGCCTGCTCTGAGCCCTTCTTCTGCCACAGCCCCTCTGTGCAGACTGAGCCGAGCCAGGTCGCCGGTCTCTCTGCCCCGAGTGTCCCCCAAATCCCTTAAGCCTCCCTACACAATGGCCCCATGGCCCAGCAGCTTCCAGCAGGCAGAAGTGCAGAGGTGGCAGAGGCCTCAAATGGAATTCGCTGAAGCAGGGATCCAGGTGGCTCCTGCCCCAGCCCCTGGCCCCACTGGCCTCTCTCTGTGACCCTCCCTGGACCCTCCTCCTCCCACAGCACCCACTGGGCTAGCCTAAGCTGCGTGCACACACAACACACCAAGACGAAGTGCAGCCTTCCATTTATTGTTCAAGCAGGGCACCCTGAGCAGCAGGGGACAGTACTGGGGTACAGCTGTCTGTAGATGGAGCTGAACATGGGCGGGGGGCTGAGGCACACAGGGAATGGGGCTGGGAAGGAAGGCCGAGACTGGGCTGGGGCTGGGGATAGGGGAAGGAGCCAGTGGGTTTGGGGACAGGCATGGAGGTGTGGAGAGGCAGGGGGGAAGGGCTGAGGGATCTGGAGTGGCCTGGGAATGGCCCTGGAGGAGCCCTAGGTGCTGGTGGGCTCAGGAGCGTAGCTGCAGTTGGGGATGGTGCAGGGGACGGGACTGAGGCCATGCAGCAGGCAGGCGTGGGTGTGGACATGGATGCGAGGTCCAGGTTCAGGGCTTTCCTGACTTGGGATCCTAAGACAGGTCCCAGCTTCACCACGTGGCTCACAGGTTTGGGGGTGGGGGTGGGGTTAACAGGAGGCTAAGGGCTAAGGTCACTCTGGGCTCCAGGAAAAAATAAACTGTGGGTGACGAAGTGCTGGACCCTCCCCTGGGTCCTAATATTCTGTCTCCCAGTCCTCAGCAGCAGGTGTGGGGTCCAGGAGTGGCTCCCTCTTCCCATCCTGGGCCAGCAGGGTGGGTGGTGATGGAGGTGTCACCGGTGGGGTCTTGGGGCCAGCCCAAGGGACCCCTGCCCTGTCCCTGTCTGGTTGCTCAGCTCTCCCAGGGCCTCTTCTTGACTGGCCATGGCCCCGGGTGGGCCTGCGCGGAACACCCCACCCTCCGCGACCCCTGAACGGCCTCTTGGCTACTCCTGGCTGGGTGTGGCACGCCTGTGGGGAGCAGGAGCAGGAGGGGAAGGACTGCTGGAGGCTGTAGGCCCCCATCAGGGCACTGTGCAGGAGGTAGGAGAGGGCATCCAAGCGGATGGGAACAGTAACAGAGGCCAGGTGCTCGGGGAGTCCCAGGTGGGCTGGGTGTGGGGTGCCCACGAGCGAGGGTGGCAGGGCTGGGATGGACACAGGGGACCAGCCCTCAGCTCCAGGTGTCAGGAGGGGCAGGCTGTTCCTAGGATGACAAGAAGACAGATCAGTGGGTCTCACCTCTCTGAACTCCTCCTCCTGTCGCTGCAGGGCAGCCTCTGCACCTCCACCAGCAGCCCCCCTCTGACTTTCTCACACCCTCACTCCAGTTCCTTCTCTTTGTCCCCCCTGTTTCCTGCAGAGCGGGCCTGCAGCTGTGCCATTAATGCTCAGTTCTGACTGGCAGCTGCCTCCCTTGTGGTGCATCTTGGGCAAATCATTTCTCATTGGAACCCACATTTTCATATCAAAACATAGCTTTGGAGGCTGGGGTGTAGCTCAGCGGTAGAGGGTAGAGCACTTACTTGCCTAGCATGCCAGACTCCCTGAGTTCAATACCCAGCACTGAAGAGGTGGAAAAAGATAACCCTGGCGGCATCAAAGGAGAGTATTTAAGGGCCGAGTCTGGTGTGTGCTCAGGAAACGTGTCACTTACTTTTTTCTCAGCCCTATGGCTGCCCCAGCACCTTCAAGTTCCCTCTCGGAAATTTCTTGGACGAATATATATTTCTAGCCCTCTCCCCATTTCTAAGTTTCTGGCTCGATACCGTCACCAAAATCCCCTAAGACTCTGTTTCTATGTGATGATATCCTGATCCCCGCCCCCAACGCCCCACCAGACACTCTCTCTGGGTCGGTTCAGCCCCCACCCCCTCCCACTTTCTCTGACCCCTCTTCTCTCTGGGCCTCTGTCTCTTTCTTAGGGGTCTTAGTCTCTTACCCCTCGGATCCAGCTGGTCCGTTCTTTAGTTGTTCCATCTTCACGGGAGTCTCTTCCATCAACTTCGCGTGGATCCTTCCAGGGCTTGGGGCGGAGGGGCGGGGCCTGGGAAGAAAGAGGGCGGGGCTCTGGCCAAGTGCGCAGAGCCGGGGGCTCCAGGGGCGCCGAGCGGTGCAGCCCTGGCATCACGTTTTGACCTAGCCCCTTCCTCCCTCAGACCCAGAGGACAAGGGGTCCTTCCACCTTCTCTCTGCCTCTTTCTACAAGTGGCCTCAGGACAATCCTTCAGGACTACCTGGACATTTAGTCACTTCCTGGGCAAAGGGGAAGCTAGATGGTGGGAATCTCAGCCGCCCCAGGGTCTGGATTCCATTCTGTGCGGCCTGACTTGGTGACTTTAGGGTCTTCCTCTTCTCTTTGCCTCAGTCCGAGAACTGAGAACTAATGTTTGCCTGAGAACTGGGGCTAATGTTACATCCAGGTTCTTGTGAAACTTTCGTGATATCCCTTGATACCACGTGTGCAAAGCCGTAACACAGAGTCTGAACAGATGTCAGTCTGGAACCAATGCGTTGGCTTGTTGCTTGTCCCGGTAGTGTTTTATTGAGAAGTAATCGTCCTTCTCCTCTCCTTGAATTTAAGAAATACTTATTCAGTTCCTCCTGTGTGCTGGGCTCCAGGCTGGGAGCTGAGGACAAAAGAGCTGTGGCCACTACTCAAGAAATTGCATGCTTGTGAGGGAGAAGGACAAGACATAAATAGTTCATTTTCTGTAGGACTCATTACCTGAAGATGTGAAATCAGGGCAAGGGATGTTTAGATAAGGTCCTTAGCCAATGTTATGGTGGGAAGGCACCAGAAGACCTGGAGATTGTAAGGAACAGCCGTGCAGAGCTCTGGGTTAGAGCAAGGATAGCGCATGCAGGATTGGAAAGGAATGAGCTAGAAGAAATGATTTTTTTTTAAAATAAACGTTTGATTTTGGAACGCTTTTATATTTACAGAAAAGTTACAAAGATAATGTGGAATACCCCTATAATCCTCACCCAGCTTCTAATGTTATCATCTCTCATTGGCATGGTACATTTATCCCAACTAAGAAATAGACATGACATTAAGTGAACTCAACATTTCAGATCTCACCAGTTTTTACATCTGTGATCTGCTGCCCTTTCTCAGTCTTAGTTTTCACAACCTCAACAATTTTGTAGAGTACTGAGTCAGTCATTTTATAAAATGGAGATCTCTTTTTTGTATGTCTTAGTCTTTATTTTTGATGCCTAAAATTATCTTTACACATTTTTCCCACTTTTATTGGTGCATCATAGTTGTACATACGAGCGGAATTTGTCGTTACATGTTCGTACATGCACACATACAATCCTTAACCTTCTGAGTTTTATTTTAACATGATGGATTCTAGTTTCTCCCATTTTCTTGCAAATGCCATAATTTTATTTTTCTTTATGGCTGAATAAAACTCTATTGTATGTATATGCCACATTTTTTTAATCCACTCATCCATTGATGGACACCTAAGCTGGTTCCATAGTTTTGCTACTGTGAATTGTGCTGCTATAAACATGGGTATGCATGTACCACAGTAGTAAGATGACTTCAGTTCTTTAGGATAAATACCTCGGAGTGGTATAGCTTGGTCATATGGTGGTTCCAAGCCTAATCTTTTGAGGAACTACCATACTGATTTCCATAGTGGTTGTACTAATGTACAATCCCACCAAAAATGTAACTGTGTTCCTTTTTCTCCACATCCTCTGCACATTTATTATTTGTATTCTTGATGACTGCCCTTCTGACTAGTGTGAGATGAAATCTCAGTGTAGTTTTGATTTGCATTTCCCTAATTGCTAGTGATGTTGAACATTTTTTCATATATTTGTTGGCCATTTGTATTTCTTCCTTTGAGAAGTGTCTAATTCAATTGCCCATTTACTAATTGGGTTATCTGACTTTTTGGAGTCAAGTTTTTTGAGTTCTTTATATATTCTAGATATTAATCCTCTGTCACTAGAAACTAGCAAAGATTTTCTCCCATTCTGTAGATTATTTCTTCACATTCCAAATTGTTTCCTTTGCTGTGCAGAATTTTTAAGATTTGATACCATTTCCTGATATTATTTCCTGAGCTTTAGGGGTCCTATTGAGAAAGCCATTGCCTGTGCCCATATGCTGGAGTGTTCAACTTCCATTTTCTTCTAGCATTTATATAGTTTCTGGTCTAATTCCTAGGACTTTGACCCATTGAGTTGATTTTTGTGCAGAGTGAGAAATAAGGGTTTAATTTCATTCTTCTACAACCAGTTGTACCAGCACTGTTTAAAAAACTTTTTAAAATTTATTTTTAGTTTTATTTTTTAGTTGTTGATAGACAACTATTTTATTCATTTATATGCGGTGCTGAGAATCAAACCCAGTGCTTCACACATGCCAGGCAAGTTCACTACCGCTGAGCCTGAGCCTCAGCCCTTAAAAAGCTGTCTTTTTTCCAATGTCTGTTTTTGACATCTTTTTAAAAATACATGTATTTTTCAGTTGTAGATGGACATACTACCTTTAGTTTATTCATTTTTATGAGCTGCTGAGGATCAAACCCAGTACCTCACACTTGCAAGGTAAGTGCTCCACCACTGAGCCACAACCCCAACCCATGTTTTTAACATGTTTGTTGAGGATCACATGACTGAAGATATGTAGGTTTGTCTCTGTCTTCTATTTTGTATCATTGGTCTATGTGTCTATTAGATCTGTCTTCATGAATACCACAAACTCAATCCTTATTTCCAGATGACCAAACTGTACCTCAGAGAGGTAAAGTAACCTGCCCAAAGTTACCTATGTGGCACAGCTGGGATTTGAACTCAGAAACCTGGACCTAAAGTCTGTGCTTTCAATGGAGAAACAAGATGCATCCAGATCATATAGAATCTTGTAGGCAGCAATGAAAAAATTTGGGTTTTTTCCTTTTTCTTCTTTTTGTGATGCTAAGGATTGAACCCAGGGGCTTCATGCATGCTAGACAAGTGCTATACCACTGAGTTAGATACCCAGCCTCTGTATTTTTTTAAATTGTAAGAATATTGAAAAACTGAATAGTTGTAAGCAGAGGTATGATATAATTTGGTTGCTTTTTTTTTTTTGGTTGTTGAGTACTGGGGATTGAACCCAGAGACACTACTACTGAGCCATATCCCCAGCCCTAGCCTTTTTTATTCTGAGACGAGGACTGGATAAGTTGCCCAGGCTGGCCTCAAACTCCTAATTCTCTTGCCACAGCCTTCTGAGTCACTGAGATTACGTTTGTGAGCACCTGCACCAGACAAGTTTTACAAGCACTTTTCCTGAAGTTTGGAGAACAGACTTGGTGGAAAGCAAAAGTGAGATCAGAAAGTCTAGGGAAGACGCTGCTCTTCTCTAGGAGAGACGTGGTGGTAGTTCCAAGGAGGGTGAGGGTGCTGGAGATCTGGAGATGCGAATGGACTTGAGGTGTATTTGAAGGAAGGGATATTAGGACTTGCTGCTGGACTGCTGGGGTGGGTAAGGATAATCAAAGATAATTAAGTTTTCATCCTGGCCCCTTTTAATATGAATTTTTAAAGCAAAAAGTGCACAACGTCCCATTTTAAGGATGAAAAGTTCCAGATGACACCAAGCGGCTGGAGTAGAAGGATTTTTATCAAGAGGCTTGACTTCCTTTCTCCTGGAAACTGATGAAAACCGGATCTCCAGATTTCAAATGTGGGTTTTATCCATTTCAATACCTCATTTGCCAAAGAGGCATCTTATTTCTATACAAGGCTCAGAAATAAGGGCTTGAATCTCCGCTCAGGTACTTCAAGTGTGTGCCCTCAAGCAAGCTGTTCAAGCTCAGTCGGTTCTTAATGGCACTGCTATTTATTGCTCCTCCAATTCACGTCATCCCGGTCGACTCCACTGGGAACCAGAGGTCCATTTTTGCTTACCCGGTACCTGGCCCTTTAAAGTCCGCTTGTCTGGCCAGGAGAGTGGAGGCGGGACCTCGCGCCACTTTAGGAAATGTCGGTAAAAGGCAGCTTCCGAAAAAGATTGGCAAATTCGGAAAGCCCACAGACCGACTCCAGCGGTTGGGTAGAGCTGGCTGTGGATTTGCCGGGAAACGCAGCAGCGCTTGTTTTTCAGCCCCGCCCGTCCCTTGTTACGTACGCAGCACTAGCCACGCCCTCATCTCTGATTGGCCGGAAAGCTCCGTCGCTCAACTCCCCTAGCCCCGCCGTCCTGGGCGGAGTCGCTTCCACGTCCCGGCCCCGGGCCCAGAGGCGCGGCCGGCACCCTCGCCCTGGTTGGTCTGCCTTTCTGATCGGCGGCCTCGCCCCGCCCTCTGATTGGCTAGCATCTTTCCGCGCCTTTTGGAAGCTGATTACTTAGGCCTTGGTCTGCGGTGGCTCTGGGCGCGCCCGGCGGCTTCCTGAGGAGCCAGCCAGGCCCGGAGACTGCTAGCAAACGCATGGGGGAGATGAGTCGTCGGGGAGGCCCCTTGCCGAGTCCACCTGTTGGGATCAACTCATTTCTCTCACTGCCCTTTCAGCGGCCTTAGACCCTCAGACTTCCGAGACTCGGCCTTCGGGGCCTCCCTTTCCAGAGGTGCTCAAGATTCCTCAGAGCCGCTCCCGCCCCTCCTGCTGCACAGGGTACCCCGCGGCGGCTCTCCTTTTCCTCTTCCACCTCCCCACTTGTTCTTCCCCTCCGGAGTCACAGCTGGACAGGCCCTCTCCATCTTGGGGGTCCTCTGCCACTGTACCCCTTCCCCCCCCCCCCCCCCCCCCCCGTCCCTAGGCCTGGCCTCTCTTCCCTAGAATCCCCCACGTTCTAGAGGCTCTCACCTCGCAGCCCCCCTCCCGGCTCTGTCAAGATGCAGGGGTCACCTTCGGACTTTGTCCTGGGAGTTCTCCACCCGGCTCCCCGCTCTGTCTAGTCCCAGCCTCCTCTGAGCACCTGGGAATCGTGCAGACCACGAGGAGGAGTGGTGGTCAGCTTCTGTTGTTTTGGTCATATCAAAAGTACCATCAGCGGAGTCCTTTGTCAACAGAAGTGTGTTTCCCACGGTTCTGGAGGCTCAGAAATCCACGACGAAGGTGATGGTGGATTCTGGGGAAGGTTTGCTTCCTGATTCATAGGCGTTGCCTGGTGCCTTCGCCTTCTCTAGCAGAGGGTTAGGCAGTTCTCTGGGGCCTCTTTTATAGATGTCCCAATCTCATTCCTGCGGGGAGCTTTCCTGACTCATCACCTCCCAACACATGTACATCATCTGACGAGCCCCCCCATGTACATGCTTTCCTGTCAAGATGTTAAGCATTGCTGTCACCAGGAAGTTCCCTCTCCCCAGTCATTTCCTGCCAACCCCCCTCACAGGCAACCATGTTCTGTTGTGATTTTTTTTTTCTTTTTCATTATAAATTATCTCTTTCCCTCTCTCTTTTGATACTGGAAATTCCACTAAGGGCTTTGCCAGTGCTAGGCAAGCACTCTAGTCCTGAGCTTTATCCCCA